TACTATGCATTCATAACGTGACTGTCCATTGATGGGACCAAACTCCATACAGTACAGAGTAGGTTATACTATGCTATTTCCATAAGTATTTAGGTTCTGTGATAATAGAACAGCTGAATAAAAATAAATTCAGTTTTAAAAACAATTCCCGTTTTTTGCACTTCTATTTTCCGTTGATTTCTCATAGTAAGCCTTAACAGTGCTGCGATTGATATCAAACGTAACACTTTCCGTAAAACGGTTAAATTTTTATCAAATAGTTGCCAGAACTTTTGAAATGTCCCTCGTATATCGTTCTACAACGCATAAGGGCTATTCTTTTTATACACAAAAGGTAAAAACTTATTTTCTAATGCAAACTTGATACCCGTCACAAGTGAAAGCCTGTACACATTGTTGTGGCGTCATTGCTCTCTAATACGCAAAGATATAAAGAACATCGACAAAAAAAAAACTTAGAGCAAGGGTGTACTCTATATAATTTTATAACAAGAAAAAATTGATGTAACCATCAATTGTCGCCCGGGAAATATGCAAAGTAAACAATGGAAATAAGTCTTGATATGAGTGAAAAGGCATGCGTCTAATTGATGGAGATGATAGTGGCGAATATTTTGAAAACTCATAGTCGGATAAAAATCAAACAAAAACGATACCATTTTAAACTTGATCAATTCCTCGAGTAAATGTTGGCTGCATAAAATATAAATTGAAATTAGACACATGCATCACCTATATTAAAAAATGTATTTTAATTTTCAATTTTCGAATATAAAACACGAACTGTGCAGAGTACGTTTTTATGCGAGAAGTTAAATTCGATGTTCTAAAAAAAGGGAGACCTGTCATTTTTTCCATAGTAAATGATAAGCAACTTTATATATTAAATATGAAAAACATATATATTTTTACAGATTCACTTTATGGAAGTAAATATATAATGTATTATATGCATAGAAAAGTCTACATCTAGCCGTCCAGTGCATAAATATACAGTGGACCTTCAGATATCCGGACGCCAGATATCCGGATGCTTCAGTATCCGGACGACTTTTCATTGGCACATAATTTTTAAAACCTTATTTATCTTGTTTAACTGGTAATTCAGATATCCGGACGCTTCACATATCCGGACAAATTAACTGGGAACCAAACCGTCCGGATAAATGAGGCTCCACTGTATATCTATAGTTAACGTTGCAGCTATATTTTCAATGTACAAGCCATATAAACAAACTTGTAAAGAGGAACCTCTGCTACAACGCACTTTGAAAAATTACGCAATTTGAAAAAATTTTCAAAGTGCGTTAAAATTTGGGACCAAGCTAACGCACTTTGAAAAAAATATTTTTTTCAAAGTGCGTTAATATCGACCATATTAAAGCACTTTGAAAAAAATGTAAAGATTGATCAATATTCCTTCAAATAATCGGTATGATAAATAACAGATCCTGGTTTGATAACTTTCTTATGATAAAGTCACTTTAGGACCTGAGATATTGACGTTTTAAATATTTAAGGTTTTGATAAAATAAAAGAGAAAATTAAAGGGTCTTGAAAAAAAGAGTGACGATTGTTTAAGTTCATTAATTCGTCTCTTCTTTTTTTTTTTTAATTCTAGTCATTGATAAGTAGATGTAAAGGTGTAAAGGGGACACTAACAGAGAACAGCTTCAAGCAACTTAGCATTTATCATAATATAAAGGGGCCAATTTGATTGTTCAAAACTATGAAATTCTTTCTCTCTCATACGTTTTACTGTACTTAAAACTGTCTAGTTTTCATGTGTTTTAATTAACTCATTTATAACTGAAAGTTTTCAACGTCATACCAGTTAGGTAAATACATAATTATATGAATGCTTTGAGTATAGCATAGACATCGAGACTGGGCAAAGGGCCAGGGGAGGGGATGGGGGGCTAAGCCCCCCACTTATTTTGGAACGATATATACATCGTATAAGCATTGAAAATGCAGCGTACCCGTTTTAGGTTTATTGCTCCCCTCCCCCGTCTGTTACCGACACCTATGTATTGGGCAGATAAAGATTTGGATTGAGGGATCTTATACCCGTCTTCTCCTCTTTTCGACGGGAGTAAATCAATTCATTTTTGAGGTTAGGGTTAGGCTTAGTTTTTTGAAAGATAAATAACAAATAAAATCTTTCCATGACTAAAACATGATTTTTTTTCAAAGTGCGTTAAGTATCTCCATGGTAAAATATATTGATGTAGACTCTTAACGCACTTTGAAAAAAATTTTTCAAAGTGCGTTGAGTTGGTCCCAAATTTAACGCACTTTGAAAAAAATTTTCAAAGTGCGTTGATTTTGTCCCAATTTTAACGCACTTTGAAAATTTTTTTCAAAGTGCGTTGCCACAAACCTGCATAACTTTACTTTATTTTTCCATATCAATAAGTTACATACATATTTAAAAATCAAGGCCCAAGTTCCTTTGGGTGGTATCAGTAAACAAAATGACCTATATTTAACAGATTTTATTGGGGAGAGACAAATTGTTAAAAACGTGGAATAATATACAATTATTGCATTGTAATCCGATGGAAGACGCGTTTGGTTGACCCCCAGAGGTTTTTGCTTGTTTCGGTAAAATAATCTGTTTAGTGCATGAATGTTTGATGAACATGAAGATTTATTAAGCGAAGAAATATCATATTAACCCTAAGGGGAAACCTTTGGAGGATGATTTTATTTCGCTCACACATTTTTTGAACGACCCTAGTATTTTCACTATATAATCAATAGAACCCCGTTAACACCAGAACCCCTGACCCAGGGACCATGAAATTCACAATTTTGGAAGAGACATTCTTGCTCATTATAACTTTGTTCTTGGATAGTTAATTTAAAAGCAAAATATCAATTCATAAGTTGGAAAACGAATCGATGTAAAAATTTGGATTTCAAGGTTGCATTTTGTTTTGCTCCATTTTACAGAATATGTGACTACAGACATTATTATACACCCCGCTTGAAAAGCGTACATAGCACCATTTAGTGAGCTTATTGCTCACAGTACCTCTACTTGAGTGTATTGTTTGTAACTTATTAAATCTCGACCAGCTCCGCGACCTGAATTTTGCGTTTGTTAAATCTGGATAACTTTTGAATAAATTGTGATATCTAAAAAAAATTGGTTCTAATCATTTGATTTTTTTGCGAAAATATTTCTACCAAATTTGGATAACATATGACGTCAAATAAAACTAGAGGTACTGTGAGCAATGAGCTCACTAAAAGACACCCCGCCTCCCATATGAATAAAATGAAATGGCAGTGTCCATGTTTTGCTATGGGAAACCCGAAATATGCATCGGATCAAAGAGAAAAATAGGAGGTGCACAATGGTATATGCAATAAAGATTCTGTAAAAGTCTCATCAAATTTTATTCAGTGGTATGAGAGGAGTTGCGGATAATAGATGGGTACCCCAAAGCGTTACAGACGGACGGAGGGGCATTCCGATTACTATATACCCTCCCGCTTTTCAAGCTTTAATGCGACTTCTAAGTTTGTTAAACATTTGAAATTCCGATGCCATTCTCGAAGGAATGCAAAATAAAAAACAATTTCCAGCTCTTTCAGTAGAATAAAACAGAATAATTTCCTTGAGAATTTTACATTTTTAGCAAACAGTTTTGGGAACTTTTAAAAACCTTCTGTATTTTAACTTAGTTTAATTCCTTACAAAAAATCTTAATACTCTTCATTGGTTATCCAGACAATGGCTTTCCATGAATATTTTAGATTTATATTATGATTACTTCTATTATCCTAGTGTTTGTGGGGGTTCTTATACACGTCACGTTTTGGTAAAGGAGTTTCTAAATGACATTATTGCGTGGACCCTGAGGTCCACGCAGTTAATATATGAGCGAGGTTAAACCGGTTGCCATGGGCAAAGGACAGGCTACGCGTGCGCATTCATTGTCAAATTGAAGTTTTAGATCCGCATTTTCATATTCATTGGCAAATCTGAATTTCTCTCTAATATATATACTTTTATATACAAACTAAACATTGATTCTATTATACAAGCATTTTAAAAAGTAGGAAGAACTTGCAGTATATTGTATGTAACTTAACAACTTGAATAAAAAACATCATTTAACGAATAGTTCTAGCTCGCAAAATAATAAAATAATTAAATACTTCAGCAATTCAAAAAACGTTTGATGGAGGTCTGTAGCAACGGCTTTTGATGTGTGTGGGGGGGGGGGGGGAGGTGGGGGGAGTTCTGACAAAATGAAATCTGCGTACTGCAGAGCTGTGCTACACGAAAACCATCAGATCTCTTCCCTCATGACAGATTTCTTCCCAGTAAATCCAGAATAAATGTCAAGGCTCAGCCATTATGGGTAACATGTATCAAAATGGCCCGATTTTTATACCACCGCTTGAAAAGTGGGAGGGTATATAGTAATCGATATGTCCCTCCGTCCGTCTAGCTGTCCGTCTGTACGTCTAGCTGTATAGCTCTCCGTCCGTCCGTCCGTCTGTTACGCTTTGGGGTACCCATCTCATATCCGCAACTCCTCTCATACCACTGAAGGAAATTTAATGAATCTTTCACAGAATCTTTATTGCATATTGCCATTGTGCACCTCCTATTTTACTTTTTGATCTGACATGTATTTTGGATTTTCTAGAGCAAAACATGGATACTGCCATTATACCTCGGTATTCATATGGGAAGCGGGGGTATTATTTAGTGAGCTCATTGCCCACAGTACCTCTGGTTTAAACTGACATAACTAAAGGCCGCTAATCGGAGATAAAATTTAACAATTTTGCTTTGAGACTTCAATCAGTCATAAGAAGGCAGATCATTGTAGAAGATGTGAACAAACCTACATGAATATTCACTACACCTAGATATTTTCTTATTTGAGTTTCGGTTAGAAAAAACATGCACATAGTCCACGTATTGCAGCCCTTTTTTAAAGGAAAGCAACCTATTTATTACTTTATATTTCCAGGTGTTGATATGACTGAATCAGGATTGAAGATAATGGACATCTTGATAGAGAACGATATGCCCCTTGATATTCCAAATTTTGATGGCAAATATCCTCTAGATCTTGTGATGAGTTTTGATAATACAGACGTACAAATCGAGGAAATGCTCTCTAGGGGTGCAGATCCGAATAAATTCGACGAAAGAGAGGAATCGCTTCTAATTAGATCAGTATATAGAAGTCCTTCAGTAACACTAGCTTTACTGAAAGCCGGTGCGGAAACAAAGATGAAAGCAATGGATGGAAGAAGTGTATATGATTTATTCATTGGTATGTAAATTGTTATTCTTAAATTAAGTCAACTTTGGCTAATTATGTCCCCTTCGGGGGGAAAATAGGTTTTATCCTGTCCATCTGTATGTCTAGCTGTCTATCCGCAAAAACTTTAAATTGACCATAACTTTTGGACGAGTGGGACTATAGGTTTCATATTTCACAGGTATATTCCTTGCGACAATTAAGACCTTTTTTGGTACCACCAAATGTGACTTTTTGACCTTGACCTTGGAGTTCAATACACTTTAACACCAAAATTCCAAACTTTTACTTTGTTCATAACTTTTTTAGACTTTCATACTTTACATATGTATTCTTTGTGACAAGACTTTCTATTGGATACCAACAACTTTGACCTATTGACCTTGACCTTGGAGTTTACCTAGTTTTGGCAAACTTTAACGTTGGCCATAAGTTTTGAGCGGTTAGGCCTAGGGCCTTCATACTTCAAATATAATATGTCATTCTTGTTATAAGGTCTTTCATTAGATACCCGCAAATTTCTCTTGACCTTTTCACCTTGACCCTGGAGTTAAACCTACCTTTAAAAAAATAACCTTGGTCATAACTTTTGAACAGGTGGTGCTAGAGCTTTCATACATGTATTTCACAGTTGTATTTCTTGTGCCTTATGATTAGTTGGTGCTAGGACTTTCATTCTTTACATGTGTATTCATTTCGAGAGGACCTTTCATCAAATATAAAATATTTGACCTTGACCTTAGAGTTTGGCCCACTTTATAAAAAAAATTATCATAAGTATTTAGGTTTTCACATTACGCAAGTGATGGTGTATTTCTAATGACAAGACCTTCCTTTGGACACAATGAATTTAAATTTGACCTTTTGACAAAATTTGTTCCCAAGTGCATGTCAGATTAGACAGGTTTCACTGTATTTTATAAAACTTTCTAACAAAAAAGCATTTAAACGAAATACGAGAGGAAAAAAGCGTCAATGGTCAAGTTCTCTTACTTTTTAGCCACCTGAGCCAGGCTTAGGTGAGCTTTTCTGATAACATTTTGTCCGTCATCCTCCGTCTGTCTAGTTGTCTGTCCATCTGTAAACTTTTCACATTTTCGACTTCTTCTCAAGAACCACTGGTCCAGAAAAGCTGAAACTTATGAAGAAGCATTCTGGGGTAGTGTACTGATTCTAAATTGTTCAAATCATTACCCCCGGGGTTTGGAATAGGGAATCAAAGTTTTACTTTTAAATATATATAAAAAATCTACTCGAGAACCACTTGGCCAGAAAAGCTGAAACTTAAGTCGAAGCATCCTGGGGTAGTGTAGATTCTAAAGTGTTCAAATTATGACCCCTGGGGTTGGGTGGGGCCACAATAGGGAATCCAAGTTTTACATAGAAATATATAGGAAAAAACTTTTAAAATCTTTTTCTTAAGAACTACTTGGCCAGAAAAGCTGAAACTTATGTGGAAGCATCCTGGGGTAGTGTAGATTTTAAATTGTTCAAATCATGACCCCTGGGGAGTTGGGTGGGGGTCACAATAGGTATTACGAGGGGGAAATCTGGCTAAGAATAGCATGGTCAAAGCTTCTCAGGTGAGCGATGTGGCCCATGGGCCTCTTGTTTCTGAGTATTTATTGGGCTATAGTAAATTTTCACTTAGTCCTTGGTCTTCCCTGTTTGTAGTGTAAAGGCATGCACTTGCAAAATGCAGGAATATTTTCACTTGTGATATTTTTGTTGTATGGTTGGGTTGGAACTGTACTTATTTCGGTCTTATAATCGTTTTTCAGAGAGAGTATTTTATGACGATAGTCTCTCCTGTCTCGGTGAGTACAGTTTGCTGTGCATCTCCTGTACATACGATGTTGATTCTAGATCAACCATTTTAACATTTAATTTATGCTTTTCTTTATTCTTTTTTATATTTTCCTCTTGGAAATCTAAGAAAACATTTTATGGCATGAACATTTCTAATTACATGTAGTAATTTGAATTGGGAAAATAATGATACGAAAGGGAATCAAAGTTCTCATTAATCATTATAAGGTATCGTTTTAATACATACATCCATTTTAACTGTATTTCGAATGCACATGTAGATAAGGAATGTGCAGTGGAAATTCAAATGAGAACTCAAACAAGCCAGGAAGAAGCTTTCATAGAAATTATTGATTGGGGCTTGATGCAAGTACAATCAATTTTGAACCAGATACAGGTAATAAAAATAAAAATGCAGTATACTTTTGACGAGCTTTCAATTCATGTCCTCATACCTAAAAGCTTGAATCATATTTTGCTTTTATAATGTTAAGTGTCTTGTTTTTTTTTTTTTATTTTAAAGTCTGAACCAATTACAACAGAAACTGAGAGGTCATTGATTCTAAGATTCGAAGACAGTTATTCTTGCTGGAGAGTAGTGCGTCGAATTGAAAATGTATGTATACAATTTATATCATGTTTTAAGCAATTTCCGTTAATTAAGTATTTTTTAAACAATTGCAAGTATCTAAAAGAGGAAGTTTTTAGTTTTAGTTTACCAAATGAAATATTGTTCAGATACCTTAGTACAGAAGTACTAGAAGAATTATATCTTTCAATTTTTGAGAGCAAATGCCTTGAAAATCATTTTTTAATGAGAACATACGGTGTTTTGTGTGAAAATTAAAATGACTGCTGAGAAACGTGACTGAAGGAAAAGGCATAAGAAATACAGCCAAAAAAAGGTAGAAATTGTAAAATGAAAAACGGACAAATGTAAAAGCATAACGGGCAAGTACATGTACAGCTCATGTCTCAGCTTAATCTCACATGGTTTTTCGCACAAATAGGTCACATCCAACGAATTATGATAATAATAACCAAAGAAAGACAAAATACTATAAAACATATTTGACATCTTATGTCAAGTGTACGTGCCCCTAAACAATTTTGATATCTAAAATTTTAAACACGTCGAGTTGACAGGCGCGGATCATCAGATGTAACGAGACGCGAAGCGTCGAGTTTGATCTGATGATCCGCGCCTGTCAACGAGACGTGATACGGCTCTTCGGATCAAGTTACTGTTATAATGATAAATTCATTATATACCCCCTTATAGCTAGCTAAATATAGCAGAATAAAATTTTAGAGATCAATTGTATAATATTTATCCATAAAACAAAGCATAATAACAAGGGACTTTTGAACGCGCAAGAAAAATTACGTCATGTTTTTGCGTAATACGTACTACGTCATCAGTTTCAGAGAGTGGTGATATGAATTTAGAAAACCACAGTGTGGTGATCCGGAAAATCGGATCAAACTCTGTAAAATTAACAGTAACAAAAACAAGGAAATTGATGGGTTTATAATAAAAAAAATTATGAATATTTGTACACGCTTTATGAAGACAAAAGAATTGCCAGAAGTTTTGTCATTAATTGGATTGCTTTTTTTTTTTAAAAGGAAGGGGGTGTTTGAAACTAATGTTTGTTCTGCTCCCCAATGAAAACAAGCTGGGGAAGAGATGTGTCATTAGTTAATCAATTTGATATGAAAGTTACATAACGCTAGGGAGCGTGTCACCTGACCGCCTAGATCACGTGATTAGCGCATTGGCTGAACGGTTGCAGATGCGCATTAAAATCGGATTAAACACTGAAACCCAATATCATTTCTTACTTGAAATTATTATTCTTAAAATTCTTAAAATTAATTTACGAATTTTTTGATAACCCCTCGTATGATGATGCTTCCATTTGGTAATTGAAAATTGAAGTGCTCGAACTTTTATTGATATTGCTAGGCAAAAATATTTTAAATGTACTTCTTAAAGATGAATACTTTTTAGGTGCTGCCTTTATTTATCATATTCGTATCCGTTTTGTAAAATTGTAGCACCGAAAGCAGACATGGCTGCTAATGGTATCAATGTTAAAACGTAAGAAAGGTAATGCTTATCTTTAAAAATTACAAATTTACGATTTTATACTTTGTAGTTTTGCAGTAGGGTGGACCATTTTTGAAGGTAGTTAACAGATCGATTTTTTGACACGAAAAGCAGTCAAATGGATGAGAAATACTGCATTATTATCCTGCTCTTTTGGGTCTTATGAATGAACAGAAATACAAGTTACCTGTACTAGGTCTAGACAAGGGCACTGAAATGTCAAAAATAGCCAAAAAAATCTTCAAGACTTTTGTAAACTGCTACAAAGGCCAAGAAACCAGAGAGAAATGATTTTGGAATCGTTATTTTTCCAGCGAAGAGTATAATCCGGTCATACCAAATATTTCTTGAGAATAATGATTTAAATAGTACTGTAACGTGTAAACCTAATTAAGGGTCCGTTTTCAGGAGATACAGGGTCTTTATATTGCCCAAATATATATATAAACTTTTCCTCTGGCTCTGTCTGAGCCTATCATTAATACGGGGTATCAATATTATATACAAAAATTATTATTCTGTATTTATAGGGGATGCTTGTCCCTGGTTTTTTTTTTTATTTAAACAGCGGGATACAATTAGAGGTTAATTCTTTGTAACCGGGTATTATGACTGGGCTCCTTGCACCTGGTTCCGTAACCAAGTTCCTATTGAATAGAGCACTCGGTGCCTCACCCTTACTCAGGATTACTACACCTTGTGCTTCAGTTCAATTCCTTGGCTAAATACAGACCGGTGCTCTGTACCCTAGCTTACTTATCCTTCTTTTACCCTTTAAATACATCTAATTTTTTTTCTACCTTTAATCTTCTGTTCACCTTTTCGCTTCTTCTACGGGTTTTAGAAAGGTCGAGACTGCCTCTGCAGCCCTTTATCTAGCCAAGGGCTATACCATTCAAACAGAGGTGAACAGGCTCCTGGACTGTTCCATTAGTCCAGGTCATACAAGCGTTTGAATGGTATAGGCCCATTGCCTTATTCATTACTCATTACACTACCCACGCCTCTGTATACTTGCGTCCCGCATGTTCATTGGTTATGGGTTATTTTAGACAATATAAAGGATCAACAAAACGAGAATAAGAATTCCTTTCTTATACCTAGTTAAACAATTATTCAAGTATTTACAACAATGGATTTATGTACTTTACATCGTTTCTTTTCCAAAGTACTTCACTATAATTAGTCATTCCAAATGTCTTCCTCTCTCCACATATTCACCATCCTTTTGTTTTTTTTCACACTACTCTGACTGTCCTCTGGTAGCGACATGTGTCCGTCTAAGTGTTGACATCTGTCCTAGTTACATGTTCCTTACAGCAGGGGCAGTGATGTAAAACCATGGGCGCCTCATGATCCTTACCATCATCTACCAGGGTTGAACCTTTGTTTTCAGATTGGTCAGGCACCTTGTCTACAAGTTCGTCTGCCTTGCGCTTGACTCCAGGAAGACTGGGCGAAGTTTTCCTCCGGATGGTTCTACAAACTTCAAGGCCTGTCTCATGAATAAGATCTCCTTGATCTTTTTGCCAGTCAGAATTTCCATCATGGTCATCTACAACTACCGACTTGGAGTTCAATGGTACATTGCTTTCTCCATCTTGCAAACTAGTAGTTGAGTGTAACCTCTTCTGGTGTCTCCTTAGGAGGGAATGCTTGGCATATACTCTGTCATACTGTTTACACTTAAATCTCCATTCATTTATCTTACCAGGTGCTAGCAATTGTTCAGTACTTATCTTTTTCATTCCTATGTGGAATCGATGTTTTCTCATTCACATAGACTCTGAAACACCCTAAGTGACCCTTTAGTTGGAGTTCAAGCTCAGCTTCTCCAACACACATTTTCCCTGAGGAAACATCCACTCAACATTTAATATATTTCAGGAAATCTAAACCCAAGATACCGTCTGTTTCGATTTTTGCTACAACTGCTTCAAAAGTAAACTTTTGATTCTCCAACATAAAGTCCAATGTGCACTTACCCTGAACATGCAATGGCCTTCCATCAGCTAATACTATCTTCTTGGTTATAGGCAAGAATTCCATAGCTTCGGTGCTAAGTATTTCTCAAATACTTTATTTGACAAAATTTTCAGTGTAGCACGGGTATCGACTAACAACGCACAAGGCACCTTATTAACACTGGCCTTTATTAATAACCCAGACTGTGTATCAACTCGTGTTTGAGTGACTAAACTAGTATTTGACTTTCTATTCTTTGGCTTAGCCTCGGTTATTTCTTTTTCGTTCAACTGTCTCCTTTGGGGACGCCGTGCATGCATTGCACGTTTTACAACTGATCTCTGTTCTCCATTCAACATAACAGTCTTTAGCTCTGTGGCCTCGCCTACCACAGTTATGGCACTTATAAGGGAACTTTGTTTGATCGGAGCTTGGTATCGAACTTGATTCATCAGATTTTAGTTGTCTACTGGTCTCTTTGCGTTCTTCTGACAAAGTGGCTATTTTGTTCTCAAGGTCTCGCAGTGACGACCGCAGTTCATCTCGTAATTGTTTCAAGTCTTCCCGTACCTTTGCATCAGTTTCCGGTTTCCCCTCTAATTCACTATGTGCTGTTCTGGCAAAACTAACATCGTGTCTTCTCTGGCGCTCAGCTCTACAAAAAGCTTCAATCTCAACGGCCAGCCGAACTGCGTCATTTAAGGATTTGGGCCGGGACTGCTGTATTCTAAGGCGCATATCAAAGTCCGTTAAGGCGTCGATGAACTGATCTTTAGCAATCATCCCTGTAACCTCACATGGTGCCGTTGGGTACGCTAAATGTGCTAGTCGTCGTATACGTTCCCCTAATTCTGGCGGTGTCTCCTTTGGCCTTTGATGTTTTTTCCTTTAACATGGCTCGATAAAGTTCCGTCTGATTAGTCGGTACAAATCTTGCCTCTAACGCTTTACACAAATCTCTATATGCACAAGCAGTATCTGTCTTCAAATTTCCAAGAACTGTTTGTGCTTGGCCTCTTAATTATGCTGCCAGGTACAAACCCTTTTGCCTATCATTCCACAGGTTGATGCTACTGCATGCCTCGAAATGAGCTTTTTAATCAATTAAGGACCCAGTACCATCAAATGTCGTCGGCTTCATCACAGTTTTACCAAATGTATTAGTACTAGGACAATAACCACTGTTTTCATACACTGGTATCACTGCACCTAATGGTGTACTTGGTACAGCCGGCATAGGTTCTCCGTCCTTTGCAAGACTTCACTTGTGGGTGTTGACATTGAGCTTACACCTTATGTACTCCAGTGTACATGCGGCCTTGGAATCCGTGGTGTATATGCTGATTTACCCAGTGACACTCCTGAGAACGCGGACTTTGGTGTGGTGTAAACATCGCCTCTTCCCTAAATATCTTTGTTTCCAGGAACATGGAAATCATAAGCTTGGGTCTTGTATTCCTTCTATCCACCCATTGCTCCTTCCACATTACTTGCTCTTGTGGTGGGGCTTATGTAAACTTTACCCATCAACTCATCTATACTGTCGTCATCAGTCTTTTGCCTCAAGTCTACACCAGAATCAGTAACTAGAGAGGGCCCACTAACATTAAATGAGCTTGGCGTAGACTTTAACTTTTCTAATGTTTCTCTTATTTGTCGTCGTCTAACGTCAATTTCTTCAAGAACTGCCCACAGTTCTGATTCTTGTTCATTGTTCATTTTTAATTACTATATACCAAGTAACCAAACAAAAATACTCGGTACTCAACTAAATTGAATCTTACTGTGGTGCACGTATCTAACGCAGTGCACACAGAACTCTATACTATATATCTGAACCAAGTAACTGATCACGAGAAGCCGGTGACAGAACACAGTTCACCCCGTTCAATAAACTTAGATCAACAGATTTTAGCAATTAAATGTACCCTGTATCTCACCGCTGCCACCAAAATGTAACGTGTAAACCTAATTAAGGGTCCGTTTTCAGGTGATGCAGGGTCTTTATATTGCCCAAATATATATATAAACTTTTCCTCTGGCTCTGTCTGAGCCTATAATTAATACGGGGAATCAATATTATATACAAAAATTATTATTCGTTATTTATAGGGGATGCTTGTCCCTGGTTTTTTTTTATTAAAACAGCGGGATACAATTAGAGGTTAATTCTTTGTAACCGGGTACTTTGACTGGGCTTCTTGCACCTGGTTCCGTAACCAAGTTCCTATTGAATAGAGCACTCGATGCCCCACCCTTACTCAGGATTACTACACCTTGTGTGCTCCAGTTCAATTCCTTGGCTAAATACAGACCGGTGCTCTGTACCCTAGCCTTACTTATCCTTCTTTTACCCTTTAAATACTTCTAATTTTTATTACTACCTTTAATCTTCTGTTCACCTTCTCACTTCTTCTAGGGTTTTAGAAAGGTCGAGACTGCCTCGGCAGCCGTTTATAAAGCCAAGGGCTATACAATTCAAACAGGGGTGAACAGGCTCCTGGACTGTTCCATAAGTCCAGGTCACACAAGCGTTTGAATGGTATAGGCCCATTGCATTATTCATTACTCATTACAGTACAATAAGTATAAAATAAGGTTGACAATCACTTGTTAAATGTATTTAGTTGTCTCTTTAATCAAATTGTAATTTTAATTGATGGGAAAAACAATGTGAGCTTTAAAAGTGCGCGGAGTGTATATTGTGATCATAAACATGTCCATTCGAAAAGAGATGACCAATGTAGAGATTGGAGTTTACTAATTGAATAATCAAACTACTATGCTTGAATTTTAAAATACAGAAACGCATTAAAAATATGAATGAATATACGCCAATAGACTAAATACTGGCTCAAAACAGTGATAATTCGTCAGACAAGCTTGTTTTGTAAGTGGCACAACTGTCTTGAAAAGAAGACAATTTTCCAGAATTCAAAATTTGTAATTAATTAACGTTCCAATATTTCCTCGTCTCCTCCTAGGTACTGGCGTTTCTATGTCAATCAGCTGTTTAAGATGTCCGAAACTCAAGTTTAGGGGTGATTCCAAATATAAATAAAAAGATGGATACCATCATCTGTTTAAGAGACCAATACCTCGAAATAAATCAAAAAGCATAGCACATAATCAATCAAATCTTTTGAATTAAAGACTCACATATTGTCTAATTCAAGAACTCAAGACCGATTTTGCCACAACACATAAACATGAGGTCAATGTCACAATTGGCCATAGTGGTGCTGTACAACTTAACCAAAAATCAATATATCTATGTAACCTCTTTTTGAAGTTGTTAACAATTATACAAATATACAGCTGTATCCCGTATAATAAATTCAAACTTCTTCATAATAAAAGCATAATAAGCATCACTAGAATTAAAATGAATACCAGAAGCTAACATTTTAAGAACAAAAACGTGGTTTAAACTTTCAGTGAAACATTTTTTTCTCATCCGACCGTGCATTAAATCTTCGATGCAGGGGTCAGCGTTTTTTTTATTTACTACAGGAACGACATTGCATATATAATGAATGCATTCTGGACATTTATTGAAAATATTCTGATTCTACACATACGCAAATACTCTGTAGATGCTTTGTTTTTCATTGGTGATACACTTATTCTTGGGTTATAAGGGGAATATAAAATGTCAAAATGAAAAGATGCATTACAAATCTACTTTTCAAGAACCGCTGGGCGAGAAAAGCTGAAATGTATGCATGTGGAATCATACTTGGGTTTAGTCAATTCTAAATCCTACAACCCATTACCCCACGGGGGTATGACGGGTCATTACGGGAAATCGAATTTTTAGATTAAAATATATCGAAAGAAAATTGTCAAACCAAATTGAATGATTTAGAATTTGAAAAGATCCTCTGGAGAAGGACCATTGAGTCATATCATGTGGAAGCATCCTGTGGTAGGTGAAGATTCTAAATTGTTCAAATCATGACCCAGAGGAAAGAAATGGAACAATAAACCAAGTTTTACAATGAAATAAGTAGAAAAATCCTTATGAATCTTCCTTTCAAGACCCACTGTCCAGAGGAACTGAAACTTTAAAATTGCCTAAATCGTTACTCCTGGGGGTAGAGCGGTACCAAATAAAGGAAATCCAATTTTTTTTACATTGAAATAAAATGAAAAATCTTTAAAAATCTTCTTACCAAGAACCACAGGGCCAGCATTGTGGACCATGAACCTGTTGCTTTTAGGTAAATGTCATTGTACTATAATAACTTTTTTTCAGTCTCTAATCATTTACGAAAAAGGCAGACTGGAGATCAATGGAAACCACAGTCAGAATGGTATGTAATTGTTATATCCTACATGTACCTATTCAAATAAATATATATAAAACATTCGGTTACGTAATTCGAATTTCCGTATATCATAATTTACATATTTTGGGTTTCTTTTAGCAAAAAATGGACACTCTCATTATATTTATATGGGAGGTGGAGATATTATTTAGTGAGCTCATTTTCACAGCATCTTTAGTTTCATGTTTTAAATGAGGCAAAAAATCCTTTGTCGTGCGTCATATTTTTGTCGTTCATCGGTCGTAATTTTCTGTATAGCTTTTTGTGGTTTTAGGCGCTTTGGTCAAGGTTGCTGTATATTTTCTGTAATGTATAGTCGAGGAAATTCGAACTATACTCGTAACATTGTTTCAGTGCGCAGTGTTAATTTGTAGTTTTTTTGTAAATGTTTCTGCTTCATATACACTAGAATATCACGGAAATTTGATTTTATGCACGCTTTAGAAATGACATATCCCACTGTATACTAAAAAGAAACGTATACAGTGCCTGTGTTTCGGAGGCAATGAAATAATCTCTAAATGTGTTTTAACAGTTTGGTTCACCATACAAAAAAAGTTAAACAGTCGAAGGTAAGTTCATATGTACATGTATTTACTGCTCCGTGATCTTTTCTTTCCTTTTTACACGTGTATTTACTTTTTAATTTTTTTAATTAATTTTGAATGCAAGTTGATATATTATATATCTAAGGGATTTTCCTTTGTTTTAATTTATATGACACAAATATATACTAGGTCATTCAGGAGGGACGATCCTTTAATTTATAAGTGTGTGTCTAGGATTTCTGAGGGGTTTTATTTTTAATATACATTCACCAATGACACAATACTATCTTGCAAACGATTGGTTGTCTGTGTTTTCATGGTTCTAATCACAGGAACTTGAGACAATCTTAGCAAAATCGGATATATAGTATAATATGGGAGAAGGGACCTAACGAGCCACCATTAATTCCCTGGTGCCTCGCCTCAGACTCTTAAAATTTCGATTTTTTTATTTTTTAAAAAAACCTTGAAAAAAAATTGCCAGTTGAAAGGCAGAATGTTGTCCTTCATTGTCATAAATTAATCATTTACCTTACTTCGTTTAAATTTAGAAAAAAAAAATATTTGTACTTCCGAGGATTATGTCCCCTTCGTAAACTCTACACCATTCTTTCCAAGCAATTTTCTTGCATTACCTTAATTATCCCGGACTTGTCATCTGTTGCACTTTATCTTAGAGCAGGTTTAAAAATAAAACTGCGTTTGGTCGTCCTCACAATATTTGAGGGACCGTAAAGTGTCCGTCTCGAGAGAACATTCTTTACCTTTGATTAACCTCTGAGTTCAATAGGGTTTGCCATATTTGATTCTGTAAACAATTAATAATATTATCCAATCATATCTCATCGTCTTAACGTACGTCATTCAGTGCGGATCTCATTCAATATGGTCGACCCAATTGAACTCAAATGGGGGAGCGAATTGTCTTGCGGCGACCTGTCTTGGGGGTAATTTGCCCATCATTCTGTACATGTAGTATCACAGATATGAAAAGGAAAAATTTACTCAGAAAAGTTTATGTCAAAAACATACATTTCAATAATGAGAACCCAACTGTAAATACTAAATTCACACAATGAATATTTATTTTAAAAAGCATTCTATGCGTCTTTTTCGAAAGTCTTCTTGATTAAGCAGGGTGATTATTAACATTCTAACTCAGAAGTAATATACGACAATTTATTGACGAACAATGAACATGAAAGTAATATACATGTAATTGGTGAAAAGATTTATCAATCGAAGAATGACCTTTATATTTTGATGAAAAGGACTGAGGAGGTAGCTAGCGTATGGATTTAAATATTTTTGTTTATTTGCATTTCGGGGGAAGAGTTATTTTCTTAAAATCTTTTAAGATCGATTTTGGTTTCTTTTACCTTTTTACATACACATCATTATTCTAATCTTCTGCTGTAATGTACATGTAAAAAAGAAATATTCGATGAGTGCTTACTATCTATTAAAGATATATTACTAAAGTCAGGTTGCTTCTCATTATTCTTCCGATAAAATATAATTCCATTCATGATAAGTATTAATAAGATATTTTAGATTAAAGCTGGTTTTCGGCTAACCTGAGCCAAAGGCTAAGGTGAGTTTTTCTGATCAAAAGAGGGTGTTGCAGTTCTTTTGTTATTTTCCTTAATGTGTAGCAGATTAAAAGAAGAATTTTCATGTTGCAGAAACTCGCATTAATTTTTTTCAAATGCAACAATATATAAAGCACAATGAGAAACAATATTTGGAAGGTGTGTATTGACTTCCAATTTGCCATGAAATGATGTGAAAATTAGTCTTACGGCAAAATATAGCAGATTTTCCGTTTTTTAAATAGGGAATCCCCATTGTTCTGAAAAAGTGCCTCCTTGAAACAAAATAATTTTGATGTATACACAAAGAGGCAGGAATTTTCTTCAAAACTGCCATTTCCGATTTTTGTTTCAAAGAGGCACATTTTTGAAAAACGCAAAAATTGAATAAAAATTCTTCTCCAAATGAAATGCAAAATGTGAACTTTAAATAACACTGTAAAACTATCGTGTCCGAAATGGTCCAGTGGATATGCTGGTGGGCTTCCCACTAATACTTTTTCCAGAGAATGGGTTCGAATCCTGGTATGGATCATTTTTGCATTTTTTTCCATATGTAATGGTAGTGCAATGAAATTACATATATTTGAAAGAGAGGTGGGAGGTGGATGCCAAGAAGTTAATTTAGTAATAACTACCCAGGTAATCTATATATTAAAAATGCAGGATTAAATTGTTTTCCTTGATATGCTTTGACTTAAAACTAATGCTTTAATTGTTTTGTCTTGGAAAATAAATTTACTGTATTGTCTAAATATTATATTTTTTATTTATTTTTTTTTTTACTAAATGTAGTTATTGCAATTTTGGTCTCTTAGCTAGTAGCCAAGATTTTATATGAAACAAATAAAATGTCTTGGACGTAAAACCAACAGTGTGATTATTGGACGCAGTTTTATTTCATGAAAAAATATTTTCACATGTCTACAGTATATATTTCAAAATGCTGCTTTAGCTATTGTGCTTTTTGTTGTTCCAACCTCTTTCGTGCAATATGACGAAAAGTGTTTTGCTGTATATCAAGCAGGAAATACCCGCCGAAAACAAAGTCCTCTACGTAGCTGTATCTATATTTAGACATAACGAGGGCATTTAAATGTCCTTCTCGATATATAGGGGATAATCGCGAGTTTCTGCAACACCCTCTTTGTTCGCTGTTTGTCATCGTCGTTCATGGTGTTGTCATTGTTAATTTTTTTTTTTTTATACATACAATTTTATATATTTTTCTGAAGAACTACTCGACCAATTTTAAACAAACTTGTCACTGAGTATCCTTAGGTAAAGGGAATTTAAATTTGTTCAAATGAAGGGTCACGCCATCCTCCAAGGAGTAAATTTAAAAATAGCAAAAAATATAGCACTTAACTTGATTTAAGGCATCATTGAAAACTATTTTTCTCGAGAATTTACAATAAACCAAGCGAGATGAAACTCCTGTTGAATCATTATCAGGTAGGGTAGATTTAGGGTTGTTCAAATCATGACCACCAGGGTGGGATAGGGACACTTTGGACGATCTAAGTTTTACATGGTAATAAAACCGGTAAAGGAAAAATCTTTGAAAATCTTCTTTTCAAGAAGATCTAAGCTATGATTGGTTAAAAAGTAGTTGGAAACAAATACTAAACTCAGAAAGTCCATTATACGCCCTGACAGTAAAAAAGTTTCCTAAAGTTACATGGTGACACCGTGACGGAATAAACGGGAAAATTGACAAAAATGCATTTTTGCATGACTCGTGCAGATTTTGTTAAGTTCTTGAAGACATTAGCTTTCAGAAAATAATTGTTCATTGTTGTTTAAAGTTTACAAGTTCACGCTAAAGATACAGCTGGACGCATGAGCTTCACAGTGTTGACAGTGTTTATAAAAACAAAGCGAAAGATATAACAATTATTTGTATTTTCTTGCGCTTACATTTTTATGGGTTTTTTTCTTGCCTAACAGTGCAATAGAGTTGTTAAAACTTGGCTAGATTTAAGGAATGAAGCTTATTTCAACTTTTGTCATACGATATAACATAACTAGGGGCAGTTTACGCTTTATAAACTTTATATCATAAGTTGAAATAAGCTTCATTCCTTATAATTTAATTTCGGTGTAGACAATGAGACAATATTTCCTGTGGAAAAAGGCTTCAAATATAGCATATTTTAAAAATAAACGTCAGGCGGAGTAATACATTTTTGACGTAACTCATTGTGACGTTGGCAAGTCATGTAATACAAAATATTATATGCTCCTCTGAATGATTCAGCCAATGAAATTGCTTGATACGAGGGTTGATCCAAAAGTAATGTCACTGTGTCCATATCTTTAATATTTGGCGTCATATTATCAAGTATAATGCACCAAAAGATGCATAAACATAAATCTTATCAAAATTGAAAACCTCATTTAATAATATTAAATTGAATTCATTTTAAAGATGTTTAAAACATTAAACATAGGGGGTGTCGCCGCGTCACAACTTAACGTCACGTTTTAAAGTTATTATTGTAAGAATGAAAACAGACAAACACATTTAAAAAAGCATCTAAAATCGTCTAATCGTCCAATATTTTAAAAGACAAAATTTACGACATTTTCTAATCTTTAGTTAAAAATTAAATGGCAGCATTGTATTTTTTTCATCATAAACAGTATTGTTTATACATGTATCTGATGTATTGCAGAAAGGAAATGTCGAAATGGAATAAAACACCGAAACGATCGGGAAATCACAAGTAGAAACAGTTATGATGGTAAATCAAACTTGCAGAGGAAAGATTGTTAACGAGAGACTTGTTCATAGATGGTTTCAGAGATTTAGGGCGAGTAATAGGTAAATAAATGATCATTTGGGGACAGAAATACCGAAAGATAGGGGTGGAAACGTTAAATGGCGTCGACGTTGTCGTAAAAGAGATTAGTGGCAGTTTGAGTGATATGAGACACTTTTAAGTTTGTCTTTATGGTATTGTTCAAAGAATTTTCATGAAGGATTAAATTATAGATAAAATATACATTTGGTGCCAATTGTTCTTAAAAAAAAAATATGTGAATATTTTGTGAGTATCATTTTGTTTTAATAAAACGATGGGAAGGCGTTTTTAAAAGTGTGTGACGGCGCATATCCGTTTTATGACGTTATTTAGGTGCGGCGACTACCATAATCGCACTTTGTGTTTAACTCGATATTTTGAAAAGTATAAATCATTTTAATTTGAATTTTTCAGGACTGATTTAAAATGAATATAACTTCCATCATGTAAAAATTTGTTAATTTAGGTCGACTAGAAGAAATTTTATTGAAGTTGTGACATTACTTTTGGATCAACCCTCGTACAAGTGAAATTAAATTATTCATATTTCACAGAAATCTTTTGTTTTGTGATACAATTTTCTTGAAAGAAACACTTCATTTTGATTCATTATGTATAAAACCTAATTAATGTTTTTGTGATGATCATTGGCATATTAATTTAGTTATTGTTAAGACACTTAATTTGAGATGAAACGCCATTTGCAATTTATTACACGGCTTCATCCTCTTATACTAGAAATTCATTATATCAGAAATAAGCTGCAGATTTATAGCTCAGAACAAAGTTGGGTTGTACGGCCAAAGTACAGAGCCATCCATTGAAAAAATATTCGGTATATTTATTTGCGCACAGAAATGTGCGCTGTTTCTCAATTTTTTTTTTACACCGATCGAATATTATAAAATATCAATGTGTATTCTCTTACAAATTATTTTATTACATATGTAACAAAACTGCAAGTTAAAGCCATGCACTAAGAGCATCGCACCAAATTATCTTCTTACCTAATCTGGAAGTGAGGGTAGGCGAAATTTTTCCCTGGTCACAATTTCAGGCACACTGAAGATATAAACAACTGTTTGGGGGAATGTTTCGTTGTGGAAGTAGCTAGTAAGATTATATGCAAGGCACACATATGTTGTAAAATTTTGGGGTGAAAGCATAAAAAAGAAGAACTAAGCACTTTTGTGTGAGCAATAAATATAATTTTTTTCAATGGGTGGCACTGTAGCTCGTTGGTAGCCCATCATATTTTTTCTGCACTTGCAAATTCTCACACATCATTTGAAATTGCTTTAGATTGCATATGTCTCATAATTCAATAAACAGACAATGTTGACAGAAGTTATGAAAATAATAATTGTAAGATGCAAAACACCCCAGGAATCTGTTTTAAAATAGAGCCGTCCTTTTTATTGGTCATTCGGAAGTCTACATTTTAGATTTTCTTTGATCCATTTAAAGTGGAGACCTACGGTGGTATATTTAGGACACGCAATTATTTTTTTTTAATACTAGAAAAAAATTATCTTGTGAAAACGAGATAATTATCTTGTGAAAACGAGATATTATCTTGTGAAAACGACTTATTATCTTGTGAAAACGATTTATTATCTTGTGAAAACTAGATATTATCTTGTGAAAACGACATATTATATTGTGAAAACGAGATATTATCTTGTGAAAACGACTTATTATCTTGTGAAAACGAGATATTATCTTGTGAAAACGAGATAATATCTTGTGAAAACGACTTATTATCTTGTGAAAACGAGATAATATCTTGTGAAAACGAGATAATATCTTGTGAAAACGAGATAATATCTTGTGAAAACGACTTATTATCTTGTGAAAACGAGATATTATCTTGTGAAAACGAGATAATATCTTGTGAAAACGAGATATTATCTTGTGAAAACGACATAACTATCTTGTGAAAACGACATAATTATCTTGAAAACGAGATATTATCTTGTGAAAACGAGAAATTATCTTGTGAAAACGACTTATTATCTTGTGAAAACGAGATAATATCTTGTGAAAACGAGATAATATCTTGTGAAAACAAGATATTATCTTGTGAAAACGAGATAATATCTTGTGAAAACAAGATATTATCTTGTGAAACGACATAATATAATAAGTCGTTTTCACAAGATAATAAGTCGTTTTCACAAGATAATATGTCGTTTTCACAAGATAATATGTCGTTTTCACAAGATAATATGTCGTTTTCACAAGATATTATCTCGTTTTCACAAGATAATATGTCGTTTTCACAAGATAATATGTCGTTTTCACAAGATAATATCTCGTTTTCACAAGATAATATCTCGTTTTCACAAGATAATATCTCGTTTTCACAAGATAATATCTTGTTTTCACAAGATAATAAGTCGTTTTCACAAGATATTATGTCGTTTTCACAAGATAATATCTCGTTTTAACAAGATAATTATGTCGTTTTCACAAGATATTATCTCGTTTTCACAAGATATTATCTCGTTTTCACAAGATAATAAGTCGTTTTCACAAGATATTATCTCGTTTTCACAAGATAATATCTCGTTTTCACAAGATAATATCTCGTTTTCACAAGATATTATGTCGTTTTCACAAGATAATATCTCGTTTTCACAAGATAATATCTCGTTTTCACAAGATATTATCTCGTTTTCACAAGATAATATCTTGTTTTCACAAGATATTATCTCGTTTTCACAAGATAATATCTCGTTTTCACAAGATAATTATGTCGTTTTCACAAGATAATATTTTTTCTGGTATTCAAAAAAAAATAATTGCGTGTCCTAAATGTACCGCCGTAGAGACCTGATATTTGGCCATATATATTATGATTCTCCAAACTTAGTATACAATTAAGGCCAGGATCATAATTATTATGGACTAAAAGTTCAGATGAAGTTCTTGTGACGTCATCTACTATTTATTGCTTTGGATTTATTTTAAATCGCCAAAATATCTTAGTCCACTGTTCAATTTTCCTTATTTTGACATTTCAATTTTAGTTTTAATTATTCTGTTGGTTTTTTTTTAATTTTATTTTTTACATTTAATTTTCTCTTAGGTAGACATATGGTGTTTCGTATTTATTTGAGAATTTTTGATTCTCAGGCTTTGTTCTATTCTTACATTCATGGTTACTCAAAGTATTAATATATTTTACTAAAGTTTTGTAACAAAAGGTTGCATTTATAAACAGCTTCACACACGTTATCAATAAGCTGGTTGGACCTATTTTAAACTATCTGACCAAAACATGTGTGATAAATTTCTTTCATATTACATATAAAGAGATATCTTGTATTCTATAACGTTTCAAGGAAACTGAATTTGAGGAAAAGTGTTGCCTATCTATTGTGCACTACCATGATTCAGAGTCAAAGATTTAACCGTTTTTTTTTATTTTTCAGAGCAGGCAGTGAAGGTAAATAAATATATATATTTATAATCTAAGATTTATAAATACACAACAATATTCTTTTACAATGAGGATATTTCAAAGGCCAAAGTTGATGGAAGCCAAAATAACCAATACTTAATACGCTTTTTTATGCAAACTTATAAATGTCAGACTTGCCTTTTCTTTTCAAAGTGTTCATGAGGATAACAAAGCATAAAATAGTTTTCTTTAATTGTAAGAGCAAGTCTTACCAAGATTTGCTACTTTAGCTTAATCATTTGAGCTGAAGTCTCAGGTCAGTTTAGTCCCTCAGATTTCCTATTGCTATTTGAACATTTTTTTATTTCGTTGTGCATAGTTGCATAAACAATTCGGCACTTTAAAGTAGATCTCTCAGATGAGACCGTAAAAAAGCGAGGCTCAGTCTAATGGTAGGCGTTGGCATGATAAAGAGCCCTTATTAGTCAATGACGTCGACCCTTAGTGCCAAGTAAAGATCTTAATTTAAAGCCTTTCACCAGAATATGATGACATCTCATTATGAGTAAATATTTACATTTCAATACCTTTGTCCGAGATAAAATATTTAAAAATAGTAAAAATACTTTATTTCCACATAAAACTACTGGTTAAAAAAATCAGGTGCGCAGGGTGGGGGTGGGAGGGGGAAAATAGAGACAGAAACGGGGCTTATTGCACGTGAATTTGCAGAATCAAGGGATGGAAATATAAGGAAAAACTGTCAGAATTTTTCATTTCATGACGATGATCAATTGATCGGCTTGCGTGATAATTTCATGCATAAACGCCTTGAGCGTTAATAAATTTGATATCATTTGGAAAAAGGTGGAAAATTTGCTTTTATTTCTTTGTCACTTTCTTTTTTCATGACGTGATAATTCCGAAAATGACGTCAGAATCTTTGAAATTTAGCATACTGAAAAGTTTGTGTCACATGAGAAGATCAGAAAGTGCTGTCAACGGCTTCTTTGAAAAAAATACTTCATATAATATTTGTTTGGAGATCTTTTCAAAGGAAAATTACCGTTCACGGTAGCTCAGTCGGTAGAGCGCTCGCTCCGTGATCGGGAGGTTGTGAGTTCGTATCTCGGCCGCGACTGACCTAGTCGATAAAATGGGTAGCAACTGTTCCTTTGCCATGCGCTCGGCACTTTGAAGTGAAAGTTGCGGGTCCTTCGGATGAGACCTTAAGAACCGAGTCCCCGTGTCAGCGACAGGCGTTGGCACGATAAAGATACCTCACTGCTCAATGGCCCTGAGTGCCGAGTAAAGGTCAAAATTTGACATACGGCATATGGTGACGTCTCCATATGAGTAAAAAAATCTTGAGAGGGACGTTAAACGTCTCCATATGAGTAAAATATTCTTGAGAGGGACGTTAAACAATATACAATCAATCAATCAAAGTAAAATTTGTTTTGAGGTAGAGCAATACTACATAGAATGCTATCATAGGCATCCATTCTAGATATTTGTTCGTATGATACAACCTGCACTTTAGGTCTAATATTATATTTTACCATCTTTTTACCATCTGAGCAAAAAAGGTTCTGTATAAAAGTTTAGTGCGATTGTTGTTTGAAAAGTTCGCGAACTCTTGTCATTTTTTTTCTTTATTTAAGACCATAATATGCTTTCCAAATTTGGTAGAGATATTTTCACAATGAATTCAAACGATTTGTATTAAAATTTTTAAAATTATAATGATTTATTTCAAACCAATCCAGAATAAAAAAACATATCATTTTTTATCATATCATGATAAGTCATAATATTCATTCCTAAAAAGGTAACATTTATAAGCAGCGACGCATTATTCTTTATACTTCGGGAAAAATGATTTTGAAAAAAATTGTGAAAATTTGAGAAGATTGATATTTTATCTTAAAAGATTGAATATTTTTGATATTTTTTTTCATGAATGAAACATATGGACATTTTTGTCGCGCCCAAGTCCATCATAATGACACCTCTGTTCAGAGTGAGACAAAATACACTAAATTCTGGTCAAAGCTGGGGATAATATAGCGACTGACGAATCACAATCTTGTTAAAAATCATATAGTGGACATATTTTTCCCTTTTTATCTCATCACTGTCAACACGAATGTAATATGTGTTCATCCTAAATGTTCTTCTTGATTCTAAAAACAATGAATATTTGTTTTTAGAGAAAGACATCTCTATGATACAACAGGCACTAGATGCATGTGAGGTTATTAAGGCCTTGATAGACGCTGATGCAATTGACGTCAACAGCCAAACATCATGTGGACTATTTCCACTTTGTGTGGCGGTAAAACTTGGTAGTTTATCATTGCTTAAATTTCTTTTGGAAAAAAATGCAAACCCAAACATAATGGATAGTATGGATGAAACTCCCTTATCTCTTGCTCTCATTCATGGTGACGTCAATATGGTGAGAGCTTTGCTGGAAGCCGACGCAAATGTGAACCATGTGGGCGCTCTTCCAGGTAGGATGCTCTTTGATATTCCTAGTTATATTTCGGTCATTGTACCAAATTATTTTTCCCTTTACTCTATCTGAACTTAAATCTGAACTTGTATAAAAAATATTCTTTTTGAAACTGTACTGCAGTCTTTTTATACATTAAATACTAGCGGATAAAAGAAACTGCGCATTACTTAATGTACAAAAAAAAGAATAAAATATCAATGACAGGATATTTGATTCAGAAGAATGATTCCAAGGTATGTTGTTTATAAATATGCGGAATTATTTTGTGTTTACGATATATTGTTTATAAATATGACCACCATTTGAATTCTTTGTTTACATTAAATTGTCATCTGGAGAGTGTTGTTCCAGATATTGGTCAATTCTTGGCCTAAATCATCCAGTGTAACTGGATTGTTTGGTAAATGAAATAACCCTCTTTCCATTTCAACTCATCTAATAAGTCGGGTAAAACTTGGCACACATAAAGTCATGCAACATTCTATAAATAACATATGACAACACGGACAATATGTTTTGCGGTGTGGCGTTATCTTTTGCATGGTAATGGGATTTTATTGTCTCCGTTTGTACGGTAAAACATGGCGTTCGATTATTTCATCCCTATAGCGCATGCAGTTCGATGACGTTTGGACGTCTAGTTCTATTGTTATGCTCGAATAAGTGATTACGTACAGTTCTTGTTCTCATGCGCCTGAGACCGGGGATGCTTCAAGCAATCAGAATTGCTGTGTTAAAAATAATTTAAATAAACGAGTTTAATATGGTTATCACGGGGACTTCCTAAACTTCAGAGATCCATTGCCGAAATTGTTTAAATTGATTCTATAATGAACGAGTAGCGTTTCAGTTAAGGTCATTGGCAAGGCAGGGTTGCCGGAGAAAAAAGGTTTAATACATATTTTTTTCCATTTATATAAACAGTCATTGAGAGTGAAAAAAATCTTCTGTGACAGGAGCAATTCGCCTATATCACTTGAGGCGGTGAACATAAATAATTAGAAAGCATTTAACAGAGGTAAACTGAAAAGCTATACATTTCTTTTTTAAAAGTTATTCAAGTATAATCATGAAAGAAAGAAAAGCAGTGATAGATTTATTTACATCTAATGTGTAAAACTGCTAAAAGGGCAGGCATCAACATTAGAAGTCTCGACAACATTTATCATAGCTTTGGGTGTGGCGTTATCTTTTGCATGGTAATGGGACATATGCTGAAAGTGGTGAAAGCTAGGCTGGTAACCGGATAATAACAGTTCTATAGGTCATGTAAAGGAGATATCGTTTACGAATAAAAGTTATAATAAATCCATGCAAATATATTTATGACTATGTGTTTCCAATAGCGTAAATTACATGATAGAAACACTCTTGATCATTATGAATAATAATTAGATGTTAAGGAAAGTAACTCAAAATTAAAGAACAGTGCTGGACAGTTTATGTGTCTTGTTTCTATTTTTGAATTTTCAGCCAAAATATATACTTGTCATCGGATATAAGGACACAATAATGTATTTTATTCAAAACGTCTATGAAATAATTGGGTTTTAGAGAAATTGTATGGTTAAAAATAATGTAGGTCCTTTTTATCAACATTTTACATAGGAAATGCATGGAGAATTGTGAAAGCATTAATTTGACAAAATCTAAAAAGGAAGGCTGGCTTGGATTGGTTAAATGAACCAGAATTAAGCATGTTTGGTACCAATAAACCTGTTCAAAAGTTCTTGAAAATTTCTATACTAAAGCCAGGAACCTTGCCATTGTAAAATTGTGTAAAATTGTAAATTTTAATGTAAAATTGTTCTTTAACTTACAAAAAAATGTAAAATTAATGTAAAATTGTTCTTTAACTTTCTTGGCAATCCCAGCCTGCAACATTCCAAGAGCACGACAACATTAATTTTCATTTAGCCTTGGCATACCACATTTACAGATTCTTATGATACCAAAGTGATTTTTTAAATAAATCCTGTCTTGAAAAATGCTTCACACTGTTTGAGACAAAACATATTGCCCGAGATACCATTCGAGAAAAATTACGTCATATAAGAACACAACGAAATTTCTGTGCAGTAAAATCGGATTTTAGTCTGTTGTCACTAATACATGTATCACTACCAAAAATTAATCAGTGACAACTATACACACTATGCTTTGAGTTTTATGCTCTATTTTCCAATGTATTGTTTCTTCTTTCCGTTTGTATAAAAAGCACTCTGATGTTTGATGTAGATTAGTTCTCTCATTATAATGACATTACCTAGAAGATATTTTACAGGAAATAGAAAGAAGCATAAGGAGTCAATCCTTAGCAGACTTTTGGATGAAAAAGGATCCCTTGCACCATGCGACAAAAGATTTTTACTTTTAAGAGTCCTTATTGAAAATGGTGCCAATGTAAATATGGACAAAAACGGTGTAGATTCCCTTCTTATCAAAGGTGTGAAAATGTCTTCCCTTAAATTAGTAGCAGAACTTTTGAAAGTCACATCGCAAATAAACCACCAGGGCGAAGATCTATCAACGGCACTGCATGTCTGCTGCGAGCAAGGGATAGGTATCGTCTTTTTCATAGCTGAAATTTGTAATTTGTAGTAGCATAATTTGATATAATTATATGAGAATATAAATTTTATTGTTAATCTTGAGCGATTTTACTCTAGTAAATGTGATATTATATAACAGTTTTCAAATCATTCGAAAGTGATGGGACTCTAATTATAATTCAATAATGTATTCATTAAAATTAACAATTAAAGCTTACGTACATTCCATGCAAAATCAATGGGGAATATTTTCATTATTTTTTTTAAGATCAAGATGAACTGAACAACATTAATGTTGACGATTCGAAGTCAAGTATTTTTAATCTACTTTTGATTTCGGGGGCTTCTGTAAATATTCAAGCAATAAATGGGGAGACGCCTGTGCACGTTGCAGTTAGACAAAGATGTGGACACTATGTGACAGAAATGTTAAAACGAGACTTTGAAATTAACACGAAGGATACTGAGGGCCTTACATGCCTTATGGTTTGCATGAAATGGGCTGAAGATACAGTTGTTAAAGAGTTGTTGAAATTTGGTGCAGATGTAGCGTTAGAAGACAAGAATGGGAATACTGCATTACATTACTTATGTAAGTGTGTATATTGTATATACATGTAGATTTTTATCCTTTGATATGTAAAGAGGGATTCTTGTCTGGTTTTTGACTAAATGAAATTATAAAAGTATAATTGCTTATATGTCATATATTTAGATGTAAGAGATTTAAAAGATCATAATTTTCCTCGTCACAATTGAACAACTTTAAAAAGGAATGGTAAAATGAGTGTGAAATTTAGCAGGAACTTTTTTTTGACAAATGGTGGCGTATGAAAAAAATCTTTTCTCTCTCTTAAAACTATTATAAAACACTGAATTTAGTTATGATTTTTACATGAGACTTAAACTTTTCAAATGTAAGTCTAATTAATAGTAAGGGATTAAATAGTAAAATCATTTCAAATAAATATGTTTTCCATAGAAACTGCAATAATGTTAGCTTTTTAAGAGCTTCCAATCTACGAGTATAGATTTGAGCCCAAAACCAGAAAAAGTGTGGTTCTCTCTCTCTCCCTCTCTCTCTCTCTCAATTTTTTTCCATTTATCCCCAGGGAAAAAAGTAAAGACCTTGACCTGACCTAGCTTGTCTCTAATATAAAACGGTCAAATTTATTGTAACTGATACCATCACTAAGTTTATATTCTCTTCTTGATTCTGTGACAATTCCATTTAATTTTAAATACAAGAAATATGAGAAGAATCCCACCTTAAGGTAAGTCACTCGTCAGCTTTTTAGAAAAGTTCACGCAGAACCTCAAACTTCAAAAATATTTATTAAAATTCAATTTTTAGAAAATAATTATATTCAATAATGTATATTTTTTAACAATCAAAGAAAAAATTGCTCAAAAATCTTCAAAGAAGCAAGATTTATTAGGGACTATTTTTCGTGGTGGAAGGATATTTAGCAGAAATTTCTGCAAATCTGCACATTTATTAAATTTAATATTTTGAAAATTTAGCCTCACATACTTTTACTTGGAGAATATTAATTGTTATGATAATGATAGGAATATTTGATATAGGTCTTAATTTATATTTTTAGAACAAGTTTTACATCTTCCTTCAACAAACTTTGCCAAAAACTGGAGATATATTAAAGAAGTCAAGATAAAATTTACACCATTTTTTGCCTGAAAATCACATATTTTGTCCAATATTTCAAAATTAACATCACTGACCCCATCTTTTTCTTTCATTATCTTAAACTACTCGATACTTATGACTGATCAGCACTTAAGTCATACAAAGCTTGATATAAGAAAATATTATATTGCCTATTTATTTTCCTAATACCCAAAAGATGTTATATTTTAGTGCAAAAAGGTCACATAATTATTTACGCGCATTAATTTGTAAGATTTGATCAATAAAAAATTTTATTCAAACTATTTTACGTAAAGTAAGAATAAATTTATTGCCATGGTTACAGTTGAAAAAATATAATAAGAGATAATTGTATAAAAGTAATAAACTAAAGGGTTAAAATTTAAGTGCAAATAGGTCAACTTAAATGTACTATACATCAGTACAATGCACACTGACCCCTTATTTTCTCTGCGATTTTGAGTCACACTTTATGAGTACTTATCCAAAATATACTTCTCAAAAAATCCTTGATATAAGAAATTTGAGGAGTGACCTACCTTAAACGTTTCCTGAAACAATTTCGTGTTTCCGTTGCAAATGTTTCAAAATCATTTTAGGTTCTGAGGGACCAAATTTGAACCTTCTCAATATTTTAATCGAATGTGGAGCCAATGTTAACGCTTGCAACAAGGAGGGGTACAGTCCATTGAATGCACTTATTAAAAAGCGTGATATATTCCACCCAGAAGATGTTTCCATTTTGATATCAAAAGGCGCAGATCCAAGCTGTTGTTCAGAGGGATGCGAGTCTCCTTCGACTAATGCACTGACCAGATTGAAGTTTGATACTGCAAAACTCCTTGTGAAGAATGGAGCAGACGTGAATTATGTCAGTAAATCAGGGAAAACCGCACTATATGCTGTTTTGGCAACTTATGGTGATGAAGGTAATGTTGCGTTTAAAAGACGTTTAACTTCTCTGAATAATAATTCGTGATTGACATTCTTTGTCTTTTGTCAACTGTTTTTTAATTTAGATGAAGAGCTAGGCACTGAACCTATACCTTAGAGTCGGTTGTGTTAATTTAACACCAAAATTTCACGTTTTAGAAATGTAAACTTAGACATTAATTTTCTTCATAATATCTCTGCAAACGATAGCTAGTAGAGAAATAAAGGCTGTGTCATGAATTGACACCGATCAGAATAAGAACACAGCTAGGTTCAAGTTTATTTCTTTACTTGAATCAGCAAATAAACGCCATTGGTATTTGTGTTTAGAAACATACATATTATTTCACCCATAAGACAAAATATAACGTCAAATAGATATGAAATAAATAAATGTAAGCCAACAAATAAGTTATATATAAGTTTATATAAGTTTATAAATTATAAGTATTTAAAAAAATATACCTTTATGGACAGCACGACGACGAGGTGTTGTGACCTTGAAATTGGCTAGCTGGACAAGTAATTCTAATCGAACATGTGTATTTATACCCAGATCTACTGCAAAGTGGACTGAGTTGATTTAAAGAATACACAAATCGGGTATACGATTATGAAAGAGTGTTCTACAAAAGCCTTTGAATTGTGTTAGAATGCCGCAGGGGTCCTTTGACTATTTCTACTAGTACCCAAGGTCAGATGACACGTTCCTCACATATATGTTCTCTATCTCTTGGTATTATATAAAAATTATTCATATTTGTCATTCTTTACTGATTTCTACATTGTTTTCAAAATGTGTTTTTAAGAAATATACACTTAGAATTGGGATGTAGGCTTTCAGAAGATAACCCATAAGGATTATATTAGAAATATGACCCTGTGGTATCTTGTCCAACTGCCTGATAAGGTACCCTAATTTTTTTGTGAGGAAACTTGTTTAAGTACCTATACTTCAATGACAAAGTCTTGGGGAAAATTATATATTTTTAAGGAACGTGTCGTCTGACCTTAAGACACAAAATGATTTTAGTGAATGATGTTAAAATGGTATCTGAAATAAAGATTTATGTGAAATACTTTCAAAATGATCCTCCTCCTACAGTTTTAGTCTGCTTTCAATTTTGCAACAAAATAAAACTTAATCATGGATCATGTTTCTATTATTTGCTTTTGCCAAGCCCAACTGCTACTTTTCTCTTTCTTTGTTATAAATACATTTACAAACCAGCAGAGGAACAGTCTCGACAGAGACTTTTTGTTCAAACATTTTTCTATTAAAAACAAAACGTATTTGATTAATTCGTTTCATTCGGTATCTCTTACTCACTAAACTGTATTAGAAATCGTTATGGCTTTCAGTCTATTCAAAATTCTTTGTAACCATTCTATTTTTTTTATTTTGTTGTAGAATGCATTTCAGGGCGAGGAGAAATAGTGGAATGTCTATTAGAGGCTGGATGTGATGCCAATATCTTACTAGAGGGCATTTCACCACTTTCTTTTCTTTTATCTCTTCCGGTAGAAGAAGATACTCTAACTATTCTTTCGAATCTTTTGCAATATCAAGCTGATCCAAATATTGGTTTGAAAAACCCAATCTCTTTGGCTGCAAAACATTCAGTTGATGCTGTAAAATTACTCTTGAAAGCACGCGGTGATGTAAACAAAAAAGACACAGACGAAGAAACACCATTAGTTAATTGCTTATTGTCCTCTGTGTGTGAGTAAATTACTTATTATTGTTATATACTCTACGCATCTTGCTTGTATATCGTAAATTCAAACAAAATCTTTCCTAAACAAAGCCAAAATTATAAAATACAAATTATTGAAATTAAGGAAATGTCGAAAAATTCTTATATTTTGGCGAAACAAGGAAATGTTTTGTTTACAACAGATTACTTCAAAGTATTTCTAAGAACACAGATTTTTTTTTTTCAATGCAGTTACATTTTGAAGAAAATATTTTAAGATGACATGGTTGAGAATACCAAATTTCATATCAAAAGAATAATAAATGTTCTTCTTTTAAGGTGACAAGATTGAAATTTTGAGGGTTTTGATAGAAGCTGGTGCAGACACAAATGTTGCAAGTAATTCCGGAAAATATCCGATAGAAATTGCTCTTGAGTCTGCTATTTTGCACAAAGATACGAGTTCCGTTGTGTTTATAAATTCTGTCGACTCAAACAACGAGTGTGAAGAAATTGTAACTTTATTACTAGAGAATGAAGCTAGATGCAATGTCAGTGAGGCAGGTAAAGAATCACCTCTACATCTTGCAGTATCAGCAAATATTACAAAAGTTATAAAGCTGCTTCTTGCAAACGGTGCTGACGTGAATCATAAAGGAAAATGCCAACAGACACCTATACATCGATATTTTACAAGTAACGTATACGTTATTATCATACATATATTGAATTAAAATGCTTACATCACGAATGATTATATAAATAATTGAGAATTATTTGTACCAGTTATAAAGTGGCCTATAGAAATATTTAATATTATACTAGTATTCCTTACGATGAAATTAATTCATATTTGGTTCTATAAAACAGGTGGGAATTCAACGAAAATGCATTTCACGTACAGGAATTACTCATATGCAATTGTCAAGGAACCTACACTGGATCTTTTACTGTCTAGTGATGCTACGGTGAACATTGAAGATGAAAATGGGTTAACGCCATTACATTATGCTCTAGAACAAAATGCAGAAGAATTTCGAAAGTTACTAGAAGTAGGAGCGGATCCCTTTTTTGATAGAGCAAATGTTTTTGAAAAATGTTTTGCCCTTGGTAAAGTATTTGTCACAATTCATTTTCATTTAGAAGTGATATGCATATAGGAATGCCTCGACCGCAGTAACCTCATTTTCAAAATAATGATAACGCCTTTCTTTTTGCAATCAATTAATCTACAAAAAAAACCTGTGAATTCATGTAATTGAGTATACTTGTCAACTCTGGGTTAATTTTATATTAAATATAAAAATCTTAGTAACAGGAAAAGACATGTGAAACTGAATCTAGAATGGTATAATTATTTTTATTATATTTACATCCACTGAACATTATCTTACTTATTATTTCTGAAGAAAGCCATGCCGTTTATCAGTCGGTAAAAACATCTTTGCAGATCATTTCTACACTTTGTTTTCATAAAAAAAAAACGTTTAGTGACGTTCATATCAATAATACAATACTCTATCTAGTAAACCGATTTGAAATATTTTGGAACAGGTATAAAGATAAACAATTCAACGTTTTCTTTGTCTGATATACCACGTGAAAAAAAAATTCAGTGATTGCAAAAAATACATTACTGGCGTAAGTAGGTTATGCATTTTTCTGCAATTATTAATTTAAGAACAAAAAAAAAGATATTAATTTATAATCTCCTCTTTTAAAAACTGTCTAAAAATGGATCAAATCAAAACTTTTTTGACCTCCAGGAAACGATTTTTGCTATGTTTTGTGAATAATGTCAGCAAGTATGTTGATATTTTCTAGATTTAAAAATCCTTACCTAAATATTCACCTCATTTTCTTACTCTGAGTCGGGAGAGGGTAAGCATACATTATTTTAAAGATGGCCTAATTGTTTGAATTATTGCCAATAAATAACTCGTGAGCTTCAAGGAAATACAGTGTATATGGAGAAAACGAACAGCATTCAAACAATACAAACCAAAGTTGTGTAAACAAGGTCCTCTTAAGGCTGTGAGCTTCCCTTGCCGACCGCTCACAACCCATGTGTTTCCTTTTTCATTAATGTCGGATAATAACAGGAAAATCTGTCGACAATTCAGTGTGTAAAAATTACGTACCAATTAGTATGAAAAACATTGCTCAGCATTTGACTTTGAAATGAATTGTATTCGCTGACAAGGTCATTGCAAAGGCCATGTAATTTGCCTAATGATGACCTTAAAGTTTAAAAAATGATGACTTTAAAATTGTTTCCACTTATCAAATCAACTGAGAAATACGTATATCTTATATAAAGGTATATATTGCTGCGGATATAAGGGAAGCTGACGATGAAAAAGTTAGTCATCACGTTTATGATAAAGTTTTTATAGACATTCTTACATTTGTTTTGTAAATGTTATTTCGAAGCCTTATACAAAAGTTCACTTTTGAGTTTGCAAATATAAAAAGCTTTACGATGAAAGAAAGACACTGTGTATTAGAAGGATCCATAACATACTCTTTAATTTTGTTTTCATATGCATTTTGCTTCTAGATGATTTATCATTTCTTCATACTATCCTGGAATATAAAGGATCGTCCCGTGTAAGTGATTCACTGTTTTTCACATTTTGGTCGCGTCAAAACGATGAAATAGGCCATGGAAACAGACAATGGATTGCAAAAGTAACAATGCAAATTTTAGCTTCTCCCCACAAAATCAACGTGAACATTAAGAATCGCTACGGAAATACTCCACTTTCCTTCTTTTGTGAACAAACTGAACCAGTTATTGTAGAAAAATTGTTGGAGAGGGGGGCAGATGTCAACATGATCTGCAGAAGAGGGTGGACGGCGTTGCATGCCTTCTATAACTCTTCAGGTATTTTTTTCTGTTTTCTCTACTCATTTTATAAAATGTCAAAAGTGGTTAATTGAAGTTTCTGTTGCTTGAAGTCACCCTACTTTTCGGTTATGATGCATTTGTTGAGTAACAATGCGCTATTCTGTGATTGTAGTTTGTAGATATTTTTTCATACTTCATTCACAAGTAAATGTAAATTCTAGCATATTGTCTATTATGATTTTAGACTCGGATATAAGTCGGAAAAAGCGGATCCTTTCATCATTAATGAAAATGAATCCTGATGTTGACATAAAAGATGACTCCTGCATGACTGTTATTGAAAAAGCTCAAGTGGAGTATATTCAGCAAATTTATTCTGACAGTCGGAAGTCTTTTTTGTCTGTATTGATAAAAGAGATATTACTTGCAGGAGGAAAGTACGAAAAACGTGGACTCCCTTTACTATTGCAAGTAGCATCAAAGCGACAGCACTTTAGTTTGATGACTACATTAATACAAAGTGGTGTAGATTTGAGAATTGAAAAAAACGTTCTACATTCTTGCTTTCAGCGTGACAATTGCTTCTTTAGAGGTAACGTTTTGTGTGAGCTGGACATCTTTTAAAGATTTTTGGTGTCCGTTTAGCTAAAATGTACAGGATTTGTTCTTTGTGAAGGATTAATATATTAATTTGATAAGATTACTTTCCATCTAAATTGCTTTTACATTTTGTGGGGTTAACCTACCCGGAAAGACATATCGAAGGATATGTTTGAGAGGAATTATATAAGTGCATTCACTTGTCTTCACCATTTAATCACATAGACACTCCATAGAATTGAAGTAAATTTATGCATTACAATATTTTCAAACCAATACTCAATATTTTTTTAGAAAATGATTTTTATTTCATGTAAGCAAATTATTTGTCTATCGGATTGATTAGACAGAAAGTACTTCAAACGTAGATTTTTTTTTCAGAAAGTGAAAAAGGGTCACAAAGGGAATGTTTGGATTTTTTATTGGCGTATATAAAACATGGAGGACAATTAAATGAAGTGGACGCCCAAGAAAACACGCCTCTCATGCTGTATTTGATGTTTGAAGTTTACGACAAACTAAACCAAGAAGAATTAACAGATTTGACAGATGAAATTGTTTCAGTTCTTGCTAAGGACAAGTCTATTGTAACAAGGCGAAATAAATCTGGGTCATTACCAATACATCTCGCATCACAGAAAGGACGATTGAGCACAATGAAGCTTTTAGAGTGCAAAGGGGCGAATCTCTGTGACAAAGATGAAAAAGGAAATACATGTCTTCACCTTTTGTTATCGAAAGGGAAAACTGCAGGTAGTCTTACTTTTCTTAACTGAGTCAAATTTTTTTAAGCTATTATGCCTGTGAAATTATTTTATATGACTGTTGTCACGAGAAAGGCTTATTTTCGACTACATACTGTGCAGTACACGGTAGTAATTTTTATCGACTACATATTGCGAGATGAAATAAAAAGTTGATGTCCTTAAAAAAAAGGACTGAAATACATGGACCATATGCATGTGGTTCTAACCGAAAATCAATTTATGAAAATTTGTAAGTGTAGTAATTTTTTTATGAATTTTTATTCATATTTACTACAATGATCTGACTTCTTTGACAGATATTACATTTATAGCTAAATTATCAATTTTTTCCTCCCATTTGACTATAGTTTTGCCAATTAAAATATCTGGCTAATTTGATACATGTTACCCATAACGACTTGGACTAGACATCTGCTCGAGATTTATACAAGACATCTATGTTTGGAAAAATAGTTCTGCTAGAACACGTGGAGCACAGGTCTGTAGTACGCCCTTCTCTATATGGAAAACCAATACGATATGTAGATTTAAATGCTAGATTTGCTATTGAATGTCATATTCTAGTTCGAATAGGGCAAGTTATAATTTCGCAAGGAACCCTGGTAACAAAGACATTCTGGGAATTTTGCGCAGGAAAATATGCCTGACGCATTTTATTCCGAATTTCCTCTATTCTTACACGTTAGTCTCTATTGAACTTGCTGCGCTCGCTTTTATTGTATGTTTTACTTAGACTGAGACTTTATAGTAAGAGGTAGTCAACATATCTGTAATTTTTTTTAAGGGAGATTGATTGATTGATTGTATATTGTTTAATGTCCCTCTCGAGAATTTTTCACTCATATAGAGACGTCACCGTATGCCGGTGAAGGGCTTTCATTTTGACCTTTACTCGGCACTCAGGGCCATTGAGCAGTGATGGATCTTTATCGTGCCAACGCCTGCCGCTGACACGGGGCCTCGGTTTTAAAGGTCTCATCCGAAGGACCCGCAACTTTCACTTCAAAGTGCCGAGCGCATGGCGAAGGAATAGTTGCTACCCATTTTTTTATCGACTTAGGTCAGTCACAGCCGAGATTCGAACTCACGACCTCCCGATCACGGAGCAAGCGCTCTGCTGACTGAGCTACCGTGAACGGTTTTTTTAGGGAGAGAAAGAGTACTTAATGCACATATTGACCTCTCTTGGCGTGCTTCTTAATAGTACAATCTGCTTAAAAAAAATAGCGTAGTTATAATAAGAAGCACCTTAAAAATTATCGATCAGAGTTTATATCTGATACGTACATGTAGGGAAAAAAATCTAGAATATTCTTCTGAGAAAAGCCATGATTAGTAATAACGAAGCATCCTGAGGAGGTGTAAACTCAATCCCCATCCGTGCACTTTTCAAAACTGAACTTTGTTTAGCCTGTGTTCTCTATATGGACCTCTTGTTAAAAATAATTTTCACACATCATGGCATGTTTGAATGTTTTTCCCTTAGAAATTTAGAAAGAATAAAGGGGTTTTACAAATGTGGATTGGATTTCCCCTTTCTACAAGACATCATATATAAAATTTGATAATTTTTTCGACTGAATATTATAATTAAGTCTGCTTTAATCATAGTTCCTTACTGAATAAGGTTACTATCAGGATAAGAAAAATAAACATAATGTTAAATATAAACACAAGGCTTGCGGTTTGTATGGTATCCAGTGTCCATCTGTCCAACTCCCCAACACCATGTATGAAAGACGTGGAGATAACAAACAGTATTCAAGATCAAAAGTCCATAAAACAATACAAAACAGGAGCAGCGCAAACACGGACCTCCAAGACTTCAGAGGTTGGGTCAGCTGGCAATGGAGCATTGAGCATCCACTGCCGATCGATCACATCCGTCGCGTGCTCCTTAACGCCTTTTTCAAGTAAAATATACAAATATGAAACAGATGTGTCCGACTCTGTGGTATCTTTTATCTCAAGTGTGCATTGGTATATTTATTCTATAAACTTATTGCATGACAAAAATGACTATATATCATAAACATTAAATTCAATTATTGATTATTTCTTAATTTCATTGCATGATGATTGAATTTTTCTTACCCAACTAAAACACCAACATCATAAGAGCAGAGCAGCAAAGTAAGCGTGTACGTACATGTATTTCGAGATCTAAAATTATAATATAGATTGATATTTTTCCTTCTTATTAAACAAATTATATACAGGGCATTCAAGTCAACAAGATATTAATTTTCGATATTGTGATCATTACAAAAATAATGTATTCTATTATTTTTATACCCCATAAACTAAGTTTTAGGGGTATCTAGTATTTGTCATGTCCGTCCTTCTCTCTGTCTGTCTAGCTGTCTCTCTGTCTGTCTGTCTTTATGCCCCCGTAAACGAAGTTTCGGGGGTATTTAGTTTTTGTCGTGTCCATCCGTCTGTCTCTCTGTCTGTCTGTCACGCTGTTTGTCTGTTTGTCCGCAACAACGTTAACCTAGCTGCAATAATGTAGCCCTCTCCGATATTTTCTATTTGATGTTTTCTGGAGATGGCTACTACAATTCCACAGCATCTCTGTAATAGTGCAAATATATATTTTAATAAATACGGGCAATTGCAGGCAGATTTAAGTGTTTTTACATTCAACTTACTTTAAATTCTAAGACGAAATTTCTATCCACTGTCGACAACATACCGTATAGCGGGTTATTTTAGCGGGGTGATAATTTTAGCTTATTTTGGCGTTTTGATGGCAGCCCGCTAAAATTTTAATCGCTTAAATAGTCATTTAACAGTTCAATAGTCTTCGTAATGTTCATCTGCAAAGAGATGAAACCCTGTGTCCGCTAAAATAAATTACGTCAAAATTATTGACATACCTTTCAGCAAGCAAAACGCCAAATTTTACACCCGCCAAGAAAACCCGCTATACGGTAGCCCGTTAAACACGAAAACCATATAGAATAAATCTGTGTGATTACTTGTCGGTCTACTCAGTAGCCATGACAGTTCACGCGTGACGAACTGAGATTTGCGCTTAAAATTTAGAATATTTCAGTAAAGTAGGTGTTGGTGTTTCTAAATAATTTTGATGAATAGTATCATTAAACATCGTTAAATAAAATAATCATTCCATGTGTTATGTTTTCATGAAGAACGATATTTAGGCTTAAAATAAGGCAATTCCAGAGACATCCGCTCCCTGTAGATCCTTAACCTTATTGGCTGTCCCTAGATAAAAATCTGTCAAGGTCAGTAATTAAACATGGCGGATAAATTCAAGTGTGATGTTGACATACACGAAAAATAGCCGATATATGGATTATTCTGTATGTTTTTGGATAACTACATTATCCGCAAAAAAAAGGAAGAGGGCTACAAGGCTACATTATTGCAGCTAACTTTAAACTTGTGCATGACTTTTTATCTGGTGGAGCTATGACTTTCATATTTCGCATGTGTACGATTTCTTGTGACAAGACCTTTCTTTGGGTACCACCAAATTTGAATTTTTGATCTTTACCTTGGAGTTTGACTTTTACAAAAAAATTCTTAACTTTTACTTTGGCCATATCTTTTGAACAATAAATACCAGGACCTTTTACTTCATATATGTATTCTATCTGGCAAGACCCTTTATTGAAAACCAACAACGTTGACCTTTTGACCTTGACTTTTTGAACTTCTGAAAAAACGGTAACCTTGGCCATATCTTACTTTTGAACGGTAAGGACGCTTTATTAGATACCAAGAACTTTGATTCTTTGACCTTGACCTCGGAGTTTGACCTACTTTTAAAATACAATATTGACCATAAATTTGAAGGGTTAAGACTAGGGCTTTCTTACTTCACATATTCAATTCTTGTCACAAGGCATTTCATTTGATATCCAGAAGCTTGGCACTTTGACCTTGGAGTTTGAACAATTTTTACACAAAAAATCCAAACTTTTGAATTGACCCTAGTCTTTAAACAGTAGATACTAGGAATTTTTTTTATTTCAAATATCAATTATTTGTGGCAAGACCTTTCATTTGAAATCAACAATTTTGACGTTGACCTTGGATATATCCGTCCTTAAGAAAACATTTAACCTTGGCCATGACTTTTGAACGGTAAGGGCAAGGGCTTTCATATCTCACATATGCAATGCCTGTGAGAAGACCTTTCATTGGATGTCAACAACATTGACCCTTTGACATAGAAGTTTGACCTACTTTTTTTGCAAACTTTAATTTTCTCCATAACTTTTGAACTGTAAGGGCAAACGCTTTCAAACTACCCATATGTTATCTTTACGAAAAGGCTTTTTTTTTTTTTATCTCAACCACTTTGAACTTGATCCCGGAGTTTGTTCTACCTTTGAAAACGTTTACCTTGGTCATAACCTTTGAACAGGTGTGCTAGGGTTTATATTTCACATTTGTATTTCTTGTGAAAAGGCCTTATTTTAGGTACAAACATATTTGATATGCATTTGAGAACGCGTTTTACAAGGACATTTTGTCTGATAATTGCTCGCTCCTTGATCGGAAAGTTGTGGGTTTTAACCCAGTTGCGACTTACCTACATGAAAGACAATAAAAATAGGAAGCAAACTGTTTCTTCGCGAAGCGCTTGGCACTTTAAATTTAAAAGTTGTGTCTTTCAAATGAAGCAAAAAAATCTGAAGGTCCCTGTCACTACAGGAGCTCGTTTGAAGCCCTTCACTTGTTTATGGTGACGTAACTATATGAGTGAATATTCTCGAATGGGACGTAAAACAACGTACAATCAATCAAGTAATGAATTTTTTTCTGATAACTACCTGTTTTTATTTGTAAGAATCAAAGAAAAAAGCCTAATTTTAAAATCTAATTCCTAAACCTTATACAGAATGGATATGTTTTGTCAAATATGTAAGGATTTTAGAAAAATACTGATGTGCATATACAAAAAACATAACCAGTATTTTCTACAATCTTAAAAGTAGATGTCCATCACTCTTTCATGGCACCCGATCCCACATCTGATTTTTTTTTTTTTTTTTTTTTTTTTTTTTTGAGGTCCGTGTTTGTTTGTTCCTATTTTGTTTTGTTTTATGGACTTATGGACTTTTGTTCTTGAATACTGTTCGTTATCTAATTAAAATTGATCTGCTTTTATTTTGTATTGTTTTATGAACTGTTCATATATCTCCATATCCTCCATATGTTTTATCTTTCCTTCTACAATGATATAAATTACCTCTTCTATAAATAACTTGATTAATCCAAAATTACCAAGTTCCACTCTTATCAACTCATCTTTAACATCCCATGTCCAATTAAATTCAACGTGTGATTTATTTTAAGTTTTATGCAATGAGTATTTAGATGATGATATCAATATATTAGAGTTATTTGAACGATTGATTGTTTATTGTTTAACGTCCCTCTCTAGAATTTTTCACACATATTGAGACGTCGCCGTATGCCGGCGAAGAGCTTCAAATTCAGACCTATAGTTGGCACTCTGGACCATTGAGCAGTGAGAGTTCTTTATCATGCCAACGCCTACCGTGACACGGGACCTACGGTTTAAAGGTCATATCCAAAAGACTCGCGACTTTCACTTCTAGTGCCAAGCGCTTGGCGAAGGAACAGCCACTATCTATATTTACGTCTTAGGTCTGTTGCGGCGCCGCAAACGAGAAACGAACCCGGGCTTCTTGATCACGAAGCGAACTTATTTGTACGAAGAGGTTTACAATAGAATTTTAAGGTTTCTTTTTTCTTGAACGTGATTAATGAATAACAACCTAAATCACGATAAACCATTTTAGTAGAAGTAGAATTTTTCACTCCTATAATAACTTTCTGCAAAAACATCAGTTGATCATTCTTTTTTATGTGTTTTGTGGAAGCCTCAAATTTCACAAGCATAATTTAAAACACTTGTCTTTTTTTCGTATATTAGAAAATTAATAATACCTTCATTTTTAATTTTAGAATCCTTCCAATATTTTGTATCTTCAACGTTTTTCCAATATCAAGGTTTGTACGAGATAGATAAAAACATTTCTACGTTAATGTACAATAGCTTTGAACAAAAGTAATTTTAGTTCACCTGCATCATTAAGGTGACTTATTGCTATCTGTTTTTGTATGTGTCATACATTTTTTTCGTTCGTCCTGAGGTATTGTAGATTTTAAGCTGGGGTAGGTTTGGGTAACAATATATATTACTATATATAGTGGGAAATCTGGTAAAGAACGACATGGTCTAAGCTTCTCAGGTGAGCGATGAGGACCATGGGTCTCTTGTTGAAGATTGTATCGAACTCCATAGTAAACCAATTTTCATTTTTAGGACATTTATGATATGATGGGTTGTTTAACGTCCATGCATACAATCAGGATAAGAAAGTGAAGCATAATTTTCGACCAGGGGAAGAAAAGATAATAGTCTTCGTTATAAAAGTATGATTTGATAGGTTTTTTAACCTGTAATTTTACGAAACCTTAGGTTTCAAATTATTAGATAAATTTGAGTTAGTCATGCAAAAAATCAATTTTGTCCATTTTTCTCGTTTTTTTAACTAAACTTTTTATATACTGCAAAGGAATATACGAATATTCACAAAATTCAAAAATATTTATGTAAAATAATATGTTTTAAACAGTATTTTCATAAAGATATCCATTTCAGGTTTTACAGAGAATTTGAAGGAAATGATCGAATATCTAGTTGTAAAGGGTGTTTCTGTCAATGAGATCAACAAAATTGGAGAGACGCCTCTTTTTCTTCTGATTAGGAATGCGTACACCTTTGATGAATTTGACACTACTGTAAGATTCCTGCTGGAAAGTGGTGCCGATCCAAATATACAGCTAAAACACAACAACCCGCTTGTAGCGGCATTGCAAATTAACTCTGTAAATGTTGCTGCTTTACTTCTAGAGTATGGCGCGGAAGTAAATGATATTGAAGACGGTCCAACAGCATTGCATGTTTTATTAAAAAATTACCATGAGGGTATTATACGTATTAAAGGTAAATTATTCTACTTTGCTATCATCAATAGTGTTAAAATTATTTATACCCCACGCAACAGATTGTTCTAAGACATTGTTATTTCAAAAGTGTATTTCTTGAGACAAGACTTTTACCTTGGAATTATCAATTAAGCCAATTTGGCTGACCTTATATCGAAAAAAATACTAGTCTTTGTCATAAGCTTTCAACTTTTAAGTGAACTATTCATGGTTTTTTCATCAAAATTCATTCGATACTACAAAGGATAAGGTATATTTTTGGCTTTATTATGCCCTTAAAATTTAATGTTCTTAAAAAGTTAAGTTTTGGTTTTTATATGACTTGAGTAGATGAATGTGATGAATCTTTAAAGAAAATGACATGAAGGGGGACCATTCTGGAAAGATGGGGTCATTAACTTTTTTTTAGTTTTAAGCAGAAAAACCTTACTAGTATGGATGATTCATCAAAAGATCACACTACCAGGCTTGGTTTAAGTGCTGGATTTGACGTTAATGTTCCAGATTGGTGATCCGGTTAATGTTTTCGAGCAGGTTTATTTCCAATTGCAAGAAGCTGTGACTGAACTTGCATTTTATTATGCACAAAGGGTGGACACTGAAAACTGGTTTTAGATGATGGATTATAAATGTAGTTTAAGAAATCCGGTCCATAAAAAGACATAATTTTCTAACTTTAAGTATCCACCCTGTATTAAATACTCTGAAACTAAATCATACAGTTTAGAATAGAAAAGATTTACATGTACAAGGAGAAATTTTCAAAAATATGATAACATGAGCAGTAATTAATCAATAAAGATTGCAATAAGGTCTATAGAATCAAGCAATCTTTTATAATAAAAAATAAGTACTATGCTTTTTAAACAAAATTTATGGTGGAAATATGTATGTAATCATTAGGAATACAAAAACGGTTTAAATATCAGTTTTCACCAGAAAGTTTTGTATAAGTCAATTCCCAATTCCATGTGAATCCTGTCAGACCAAAATTGCAGAAATGGTGCATCTTTGGATGTAAATTACTTGATTAGTAGTTTAATCTTGGTCTTTGCCTTACTTAAAGACAGCATTAGTAAAGATGAGCTCTGTAATCTCTGAGTACCTAAATTTATATATTTCCTGGTTTCTCCATCATTTCTTCAGAGTTTATTTCCTGAATGCTAAACCTAATTTTACATGTTTGTTTGTTTGGTTGGTTGGTTGATTTTTTCATGAAGTCTATCTTGCTTCGAAAATCGCTATTTATGTTCCGTTGGTTGCAAAAAATATCTTGCCAAGTTGACTACGCTTGTTTTTGTACACTTGTACAAATGATAGGGTCAGAAAAACCTAGGGACATCGACAAACAAAATGTTATCTTCAATAAGTATTATGCAACAAACATAACCTAAGATTACATGAAAATAAACTTCTCAAATCCCTAAAAAAAACAACCTGTCTGTCCATAAAAAAGGTGGGTTATCTAAAAACTAAAACAGGTCAGGTAGGTGAAAACAATTGAAAACTGAGGTGGTAGTAATGGGGTTTGGTGGAGAGTAATTTTCGTTGAAATTTGCATGGCTTCTCCTTTCTGTAAAATAATACACAATGATCACACGAGGTGAAGAGCCACGCTGATTGACCAAAATATGTTTCATTTAAAAAAAAAATGATATATTTAATAAGGATTGCAAGCTTTTTTCCTAGAGATGTTATACTTTATGAACAATTTATTCAGGTTTTTTTCGGGTGCAACTTTATTATGATCTTGGTTGACACTTGGGTTGACTAGAAAGCCTTTCAAGCTTTTGAATGTATATATTTTTCAGGTTACTTAAAAAATATTTTACACTTTTCGACTGAAACTGGAAATGTAAATACTCAAGATTCTGATGGGGAAACTGCACTTGCTCCAGTACCTGTTGGTCCCCACTCGGTTAATCAATCAATCAAGATGGAAGATATTATTCAGAAGATTCTTGACTGCGGAGCTGACGTTAATGCATTAGATGATTTTGGTCATTCCCCTTTATCCATTGTTTGTGAAGGAAAAAGTGGTGGTAAGTAATTCAAAATGCCATTGGCCATGTGGCCTACAGCTCGACATTAAGATATATCGACGACGTATTTCAATTAACAATGGTATTTTCCATTCTTATGTCGATATGATATATCCTGGTGAGCTTGAAATAAAATATACCACAGAGTCTGACACATCTGTTTCATACAAGGGTTGATCCAAAAGTAATGTCACAACTTCGCTAAAATTGCTACTAGTCGACGTAAATAAACGAAATTATATATGATCGAAGCTATATTAAGTACAAATCAGTCCTGAAAAAATCAAATAAAAATTATTTATACTTTTCAAAATATCGAATTATATACAAAGTGCAATTACGGTAGTCGCCGCACCTAAATTACGTCCTATAATGGATGCACACGGTCATACACTCTTGAAAACGCTTCCCCTTTGTTTAATTAATTTATAAAAATATTTGAGATTCACGAACACATTCACATATATTCCTCTTTTTAAAAGAATTATTGGCACCCATTGTACACTCACACTATACATAATTTAGTTCTCTGTCAAAATTCTTCGAGCAGTACCACAAGACAAACTTCAAGTTTCTCATTTCGCGCTTAACCGTCTAACCGTATCTCTATTTGGACAATGTCAAACACCATTGAACGTTTCCGCCCGACCTACCTCTTTTGGTCTCTCTGTCCTCTGCTGATCATTCAGTGACCCATGACCCGCTTAAAATTATTGAAACCATCTAAAATCAAGTATCTTACTAACATTCTCTCCACTGTGTGTCTGATTAATCATTGTAACTGTTTCTAAAGGCGATTTCCCCATTCTGAAGCAAAAACGCATTCTAGATCATTTTAGCGGTTTTCTCCATTTCCTTTGTTCAATACCGCAGATTAAAACAACAATGTTTATGATCAAAAAGCATTGGCGTCATTTTATTTTCAAGTTAAGCCTAGAAAATGTTGCATATAATTGTCTTTTAAAATATTGGACGATTAGACGCTTTTTAGATGCTTTTTAATGTGTTTGTCTTAATTCGTTCTACATGTAACAATTTACACTTTTAAACTCGAAGTTTAGTTATGACGCGGCGACACCCCTTATATTGAATATTTAAAACATCTATAAAATTAATTCAAGTAAGCATTATTAAATGAAACTTTCTATTTTGATTAGATTTATTTTTATGCATCTCTTGGTATATTATATTTGATAATATAACGTCAATTTTTTTTTTCAATGATACTTTATTCAGTGAAAACATAATAAGATAACTTTGGGGGCAATGACATCCGCAGATGTCCCCCTATAATAACCCTCACTAGGGGTGCCAGGGGCTCCCTAGATTGGATAGCAAGATAATATGTGTTTGAAAGATGTAACAGGTATTTAAATCAATAGAGTATAATATAATCAAATTGTATGTTGACAAAGTACGATAGCAAAATAATATGTATATTGACAAAGTACAGATACGGATAGATGATACCTTTATGTTGCTAGGGGAACACACAAAACACTGTCCAACACACCCCTGAGCAACATGTATAGAGGGCCAGGTCACCCTCATATACTTCATATATAAATTATATACCAACAATAATTACAAGTTTAATGCCAAAGATCTCAAAATGTGAGAATTATATGAGATGCTTTGGGATCGTTTAGTCACAAGATAGAATTTCATGAGAGCATTTTTTCAAAAAAATTAACATATCTTCACTTGTAATGTTATTTTTCATAATTCTACATTTCATTTTATATTTAAATATTTTACAAGCAATAGATGATAAGACATTATTCAAAACGAAAGTATTTTGGTTGATACCATGACTAAAACCAACAACAATATTTCTCTCACTAATATCTATACCTATGATTTCAGAGACCTTTTTCCATATTGATTTAACTTGAATGCATTAAAAAATCAGATGCTTAGAATTCTCTTCACTGCGACAAACTGGACAGTATTTATCAATATCTTTATTCCATTTACTAAGATAGAGATTATTCGGTAGTAAATTATGTACTAATTTATAATTAAATTCAGCAACATTTTTATCAAGAATTTTTCTGATTTTTTCCTCATATACTTTTTGCCATTGATTTGAGCAGTTGATATTAAATTCTTTTGACCATATACTTTCCATAATCGGCCTTTGAGACTTATGTTGCAATAAAATTTTGTAGAAAAATTTTGATATTTTGTCTTCAATGTTTTCTTTTTTATTGTGAAATTTAAAGGAAAATGAATTACATGTTTTGTTCATATTGATAAAAGGAGTATTACTCGAATTTATACCTTGCCATTTACTAAAGATTGTTCTAATTACTAAGTATTCACAAAGATAATTTTGTTTTTTGTTAAGTTTCTTCTGAATTTCTGTGAGAGATTTGAGTCCGTTTTCATCAAAAAGATCTTTTACATATTTAAAACCACTTTCGAGCCAGTTTTTAAAATAAATAATTTTTCCTTTGTATTTCAAATCCTTATTAAAGCATATATTTTCACGCAAAAGTTGGTTCGGTGCGCTTGTTTCGTTTTGTGCTTTACACGGATTAAACGCACAAAGGACTTCCTTATAAAAGCGAGGTAACTTAGAGAGTATGTTAAAGTCTGTAGTATTAGTAATATTTGATCGTACAAGATAGTGAAAATTAAGTCCGTATTGCATTAAACATGCATTTAAAAGATCTTTTAAGCTACTTTCCGTATTTATAATTTTAGAAATCCATGCCGCTTTTGATGCCTTTACTTTCGTCTCAAAATCGATAATTTCTATTCCTCTATTATTAACTTCGCGAATGAGTGTATTTCGTTTAATACGTTCACGATTTCCCCAAATAAATGAATATATCAATCTGTTCAGTTTTTTAATAAAACTTCCATCCGGATTATCTAAAACTTTAGCCGTGTATATAGGATTTGATAAAATTAATGAATTTATTATCTGACATTTTCCAAAAATAGTAAGTTTCCGTTTTCTCCAGGAGTCTAGTATTTTTTTCAAACTCTTTAAGTTTATTAAGCCAATTTTTTTTATTACATGCAGTTTATCATTTCCAATATATATGCCTAAGCATCTTATTGCTTGACTGTTAATTTTCGTTTTGTAAATGTATGATTCCTGCTTAAATCTTTCTTTTAGTTGTTCTAAAAGAATGCACTCAGTTTTTGATATGTTTAGCTTTGTACCAGAAATTTTACCAAAATTTTCGATTATTTTTAATGCATTTTCTAGTGATGCTTTATCTTGTAAAGGAAATGTGCTGTCATCAGCATGTTGAATACATTTAATTTCATTTTCAAGTGAATCGATGCTAAAACCTTTTATTTCTTCCGAAGAATTTATTTTTAAAGAAAGCACTTCCATAACAAAAAGGAATAGGAGCGCTGAAACAGGACATCCCTGTCTAATTCCCCTTTTCAATGAACATTGTCTGGAGAGCCATCCATTGTTTTTTATATAAAAATATGGATTATTATATGATATTTTTATCCATGTTATAAAATTGCATCCGAAGTTATATTTATGAAGAGTATTAATTAAAAAATCCCATTCCACTGAAACAAAGGCCTTGTGGAAATCTGCAAAAAGCAGAATCCCTTCCTTATTATTATTTTCACAATATTCTAAAATATCTAATATTAATCTAGCATTAGCACCTATGAACCGACCTTTAATGTACCCGGTCTGATTTTTGTTTATAAGGTTATCTATAACACGTTTTAATCTTTCCGCTAACACGAAAGCTATGATTTTATAATCGGTATTTGTAAGGTTAATTGGTCGATAATTTTCAAGCTCATCTATGGCATCTTTTTTATGTATAAGAGAAAGCATAGAGCATTTTTGTGTTTGTGATAATTCACCTTTTTCGAACGACGCCACTAAGGCATTGTAAAAATATCTATTAACGTGTTTCCAAACCATTTTGTAAAACTCTACTGGTAAACCGTCGATTCCGGGAGATTTATTTTGTTTCATTCGATATACTGCTTCTGAAGATATACTGCTTCTGAACATTCTTTCAGAGACGAAAATTGATCGCAATTTATTTTTTCCTCCTCTGTAATTTTGTTAACGAAGTCAATTTTATCTAAATAGCTATCGATGTCATCTTTTGGAACATGTACACTCGAGTACAAATTTTCATAGATTTAAAATGTCGTCAGTTTTATTGTAGATCTGGTCGTCTTTTCTTATTGTATTTATAACATTATGTGATTGATGTTTGTTTTCAAGCCTTAGAAAATAAGAGGTATTCTTTTCACCTTCATCAATCCATTTAGCTCTCGATCGTATTTGAGCGCCTTTAGATTTATATTCATATAATTTGTCTAATTCGTTTTCTAGATCCCTTTTTGAATCATGTTGATTTGTTTATAGTGACTATTTTCTATCCTCTCGATATCTTTTTCAATATTTTGAATTCTACTTTTCAAAGATTTATTTTTTTGGGTGCAGAATTTAATACTTATTTTCTTTATGTGATGTTTTATCTATTCCCATTTAGTCTGAGCGTTATTTTCATTTTCTATATCTTTGGGAAGTTGGGTAAAAAAATCATTGATCAAGGAACAATAATTGGGATCTTGTAGAACAGAAGTATTTAATTTCCAATATCCTTTTTCCCTATCGTTAGATGAAACGGAACATTTAAAAATTAAAGAGAGATGATCACTCATTCTATTTTTAGATACACTTGGTGCTTTACGTAAATATATATTCTCAGGAGTATAACAAAAATCCTTACTAATAAATACATAATCTATTCTACTTTTAGGCAAGTTAGTACCGTCACACCGCGTTAGACCTGCTTTATCTGATTTTAAATCCGACCACAAATCATGCATATCGAATTTCTGTATTAAATCTTTAACAACTTTCACGCTTCTATCTTTTTCGTAACAAATTTTACAGTTAAGATCTCCAACAAGTATAATATTTTCATCATTTAATGTGTACTGGGAAATCCACTTCATAACTTTTTAAAAGAATTCTTCTCTATGATTTTCTAAATTCGGAGCATATACATTAACAAGAGAGATAACTCTTTTCTCATATTCAGTATTCAACAGTAAAATTCTACTATCGGCAGATCTGTGAACATTAAGAATTTTAAACGGAAAATTTTTACTAAATAGTTTTGAGACACCTTTACTATGTGGCGAATCAGAAAAATTGTAATAAGAGGAACCATGCCACCTTGAGTCATAAATGCTAATCCTATCTTGAACAAAATGTGTTTCTTGTAAAAATATAATATCACATTTAATATCATTGAGCCAATCATATAATATTAATCTTTTGTCATAATTATTCAAACCTCTACAGTTAAGTGAACAGAGTTTGATATTTTCCATTGTCTGAAAATTTACCTCTTAAGGTAGTTGTCTAGACCCTGTTGACTTTTTTTCTTGGTGGAGCCTGACCTCAGGCTCTTCGGACGAGACCATGCGCTGCCTGGAGCTTTACGTAGCTTTTCTGCGAGCTTAATGATGATCTTTCCCATAATATTTTGATCTGGCCACGCCACCGGTTTTGTTTGAAGGGTTTTTTGTTTTTAAAAAAAGTGTTAGCAAGTCGAAGCATTCATCAATTTCATCACATGTCGCTTTTTTTTTACAGACTCTGCCGAAAGAGCGCGTATTGGAATCTATTTAATGTCGAAGGGAGCAGATCCGGACAAAGGTTGTGCGTTGCATCAGGCCATAGTGAACATGAATTATTATGACAATAACAAAAAAGCTGAATGGAGCAAATTTATACTAGAAATGATGGATTTGGGAGCTAATCCAATTACTTACAAGGACGAAAAACCGATCTTGTTATCAGCAATAGAGTCAGGATGTACAGAAGTAGTGAAAGGGTTATTAGGTAAAGGAGTTGATATTCACGCAACTGATAGTAATAACAACACGTGTTTGCATCTGGCCTGTGGTTTAAGTAAGTGATTAATAATAATTCCTTTTCAATCTTCCAGTAAATTAATTTTATATAAATTTTTTCCACTTCTCTGTAAGCATAAAATACCCTTATCAAGCTTATCTTTAAAGCTCGTTTTCAAATAAAATTTACGCTTAAGATCCTCAGCCATCTGATCTGATAAGGACCATTCTATGGTTATTGATATTATTTTATTTAAGAGATTTTAAGTTAACGATTTCTGTTAGATTAATTATTTGATTTTATTTAAAGATGTGAAAGATTTCTTTTTTTTAAATCTCCAAAGTTAAGTTTTACATATGATAAAATGACGATGATCATTTTAAGTTCTATGATACGTTAAAGTAATTCATTGATCAACGTTTTAAATTTTTGAATTATAAATCGTCTTTTATAGTTGTATATTTTTTTATTTTTATCTCTTTCAGAAAAACACACTGAGAGAAATATGATAGCTACACTTTTGCTGAAACATGGATGCAGTATTAACAAATCAAATGCATATGGGACATTTCCTCTTTCAAATCTCATAAAAAGGATGACAAAAGATAAAAATTCGAAGACAATTGTTGAGATGGAGACAAGGGCATATGCAGAAGTTGACCTCTCGTTGTTTAATTTGTTGATTTGTGGGGGGTCGTATTTGGATACAAAAATGAAGATGCCATTCTGGTGAGTTTTTATTTTTACTTCATCTAAATAACAAAGTAAAATGATAATATTTTTACTTAATTACATGTATAATATGTTCACCATACTATGTTATGAACTTTATTGTCGTCCTCAGTTACTTATTATGTCGCCCCGAACGAAGTCGGGGGCGACATATTGCGATTGTACGCATGTTTTTGTTCTCCAGACTGTTTCTCGGAGATGACTGGGGCAATCTTCCTGAAGCTTTCCTCAAAAGACGACAATCTGGTTAAAATCAGATCGTTTGATCCGCCCACATAAAGATCGCTTTACAAGGATCTGGAGAAACCTCATTCAGGGTCATCTCCTGTTGACCTTTCTCATGATAATATTCATTAAAATTTTGACCAATCAGAGAGATTGTATTTAAATAATGTTCGGGAAAATGAATGTAGAAGTGAAAGTAGCTGTAGAGAAGATATTATCTTTTTGTACCAAACAAAGAGCTTAAAACCAAGACAAAAGCAAGTACTTTCTGTACAGAAAAAAGACTGTAGTCGTTCTCTTAGCAGGATACAGAAACTAGATCACGATTTTCCGTTCGTGTGTCATCGGGGCTTTTACTTCTTTAACTGAATTTCGAGATACTTCTAAATTCTTGGAAGTGAGCTTTTGATTGGATAATTGAGAGGTCACCAGGAGATGACCCTGAATTGGGTTTCTTTAGATCCTTGTGTAGCGATCTTTATGTGAGCCGATCAAAGGATCTGATTTTAATCAGACTGATGCTGTGGCCTTCAATTTGACAATTAGATACATCAACGAAGTATTGTCAATTCATGTCGACACGATATATTCCGGTGAACAATTATATTGCAAAAGATGATCACTGGTTGTAGTTTTGTTGTGTGGTCATTCAGTTTCAAAATGGCTACCGTTGCCAAGGAAACGTGTTAAAAATAACGAATTTTGTCCGGAAGTGTTCTCTCTTGTCCTTTGAACAGTCATCATGAAACTTTCTTATATCAATGATTAGTGATTGTAGTTGTGCGATTCGCATTTAAAATTTTCAAATACTAGTAATCGATTGTTGGCATGGTAACGAAGGGAAAGGGGAAATTCTTTAACTTTGAATTTTAAATTAATGTACTGAAAGGACTGATACGAGTTAATAGTTGTCCAAGCTTAGCTAAATGGTATTGTTTTAGTGATGAAAAAATGAAAGTCTTGTCCAGTTCGGTTCGGGGCGACATAGTCATACACTATTGCTTGCAATAGAAGACTTTCTAGTTTTAATTTGTTTTTACTCATTTTCTGATTATTATCATTATTGTTAAGGCCTTTCGTCTCAACAGGCAAAGAGAATCACATATCTTTGCGCTGATCGACCTTCATTTTTCATCGTCAGAATATATCAGCATCGCAAGCGAAAGTGAATTCATAAAGTGCAATTTCTTTCAACTTCGTTGGTTTTCAATATTTTAAGATCCCCTTCTAAGAAGTGAGGGCATATTGTGTTGCTTTTGTCTCTTGGTCGGTTGGTCTGTCGGTCTACTATCAGTTTACGTTTCTTTTCTTCGCAGAGGTTGCACATATTGGGATGAAATTTCGTATGATATGAATATCTAGGAAAAGTTCTGTTATGAATACGATCAAGCTATTTGGGACAGTTGTGCCCCTCGCACTAGGAAACTTCTTAATTTTTGAAGTTTCCGTTTATTTTCTTTGTAGAGGTTGCACATGCCGAAATGAAATTCGGTTTACAGATTTATCATAAACATACCCAGGTCAAGTTCTGTTTTGGGTACGATCGAGCCATTTTGGACGGAGTTGTGCCTTTTGGACGTAGTAAAATTCCAATTATTTGCAGTTTCCGTTCATTTTCTTTGCAGAGATTGCACATTCTGAAATGAAATTTAGTACAAAGACTTATCATAAACATGTCTAAGTCAAGTTCTGTTTTGGGTATAATAACGCCATTTTGGACAGAGTTACAATGTATATTTTTGTCCTTAATTTGAAACATTTCAATTTTATTTGTGGGAGGGGTGCATAAGTATTTTACAAACACCTCTTGTTCTTAAGGAATTGCGGTGTCTTAGAATTCTTAATATGTTTTCGACATCTTGATAATTATATTTTTAGGTCACCTGAGTAAACTCAGGTGACCTATTGCTATCCGTTTTCGTCCGTCGTCGTGCGTCGTGTGTCGTGAGTCGTGTGTTAACATTTGAACATTTTCAGCTTCTTCTCTGAAACCACTGAACCAATTTCAAGCAATTTTGGCATACAGTATCTATGGGTGCAGGGGAACAAAAATTGTGAAATTCATGGTCCCTGCCCCCTGGGGCCTTGGGTGTGGGCCAAATCCACTAAAATTAGTGCAATCTTAAAAAATCTTCTTCTTTACTCCGGGACATCAAGCAGTCAAACTGTTGGTATGATTGTAATCAGCATTGAGTCCTCTACCAAATTGTGAAATTCATGGCCCCAGGGTCAGAGGTTCTAGTGCTAGGGTGGGGCTCTATTGTTTATATAGTGAACATGCATAAATTCTTTGAAAATCTTCTTCTCTGTTTCTGGGTATCAAATAAACAAACCAAGTACATAGTTATGATGAGCAAGAGTGCCTCTCAGATTTGTGAATTTTATGGCCCAGGGTCAGGGGTTCTGGTGTAAGGGCGGGGCTCTATTGATTATATATTGAAAACGCATTAATTCTTTTAAAATCTTCTTCTCTGCTTCTGGGTATCAAACAAACATATGAAGTACATAGTTATGACGAACAAGAGTTCCTCTTTCAGATTTGTGATTTTTTTGGCCCCAGGGGCAGGGATTCTGGTGTTAGAGCGGGGCTCTATTGATTATATAGTGAAAATGCATTATTTCTTTGAAAATTTTCTTTTTTGCTCCTGAGTATTTAATAAACTAACTACGTACATTGTTATGATGCGCAAGAGTGTCTCTTTCAAAATTGTGAATTTCCTGGCCCCAGGAGCAGTGGTTTTGGTGTTAGATTGGGGCTCTATTGATTATATAGTAAAAATGCATTAATTCTTTGATAATCTTCTTCTCTTTTTCCTGTGTATTAAATAAACTAAGTACATTGTTATGATGAACAAGAGTGCCTCTTTCAAAATTGTTAATTTTAAGGCCCCAGGGTCAGGGGTTCAGTTCTGGTGTTGGAGGGGTGGGGCTCTATTGATTACATAGTGAAAATGCATTAATTCTTTGAATATCTTCTTCTCTGTTCGTTGGTATTAAAAAACTAACTAAGTACATTGGTATGAGCAAGAGGGTCTCTTTCAAAATTGTGAATTTCCTGGCCCATGGGCAGGGGTTTTGGTGTTAGATTGGGGCTCTATTGATTATATAGTAAAAATGCATTAATTCTTTGAAAATCTTCTTCTCTTTTTCCTGTGTATTAAATAAACTAACTAAGTACATTGTTATGATGAACAAGAGTGCCTCTTTCAAAATTGTTAATTTTAAGGCCCAAGGGTCAGGGGTTCAGTTCTGGTGTTGGAGAGGGGGGGGGTTCTATTGATTACATAGTAAAAATGCATTAATTCTTTGAAAATCTTCTTCTCTGTTGCTGGGTATTAAAAAAAAAACTGACTAAAGTACATTGGTATGATGAGCAAGAGTGTCTCTTTCAAAATTATGAATGTATTGGCCCCAGGGTCGGGGGTTCTGGTGTTAAGGCTGGGCTCTATTGGTTATCTTGTGAAAATGCATTTATTATTTAAAAATCTTCTTCTCTGCTTCTGGATATTAGATAAACAAAGTACATATTTATGATGAGCAAGAATGGCACCTCAACCAAATTTGTGTTTTTTTTATGTCCCCTGTATCAAGGGTTCTGCCATTTGCTTTAGGGGGGCTCTTTTAATTATATAATGAAAATAAATTAATTCTTTGAAAATCTTTTCCTTTGCAAGTTTATATATATTTATGATGAAAAAAGGTGCATCTAGCAATACGGTGAATTTTATGCCCCCATGGGCCAGGGGTAGGGTGGTTACTTAGTCTGTAATAAATTAATGCTTTTAAATCTTCTTTTGGTATTAATCAACCATTTATGATGAAATGAAATTTATGATAAAATTTCCAAAATTTTGAAATAAATGGCCCCAGGGTTAGTGGTTCCTTTGTGGTGAGGTGCATAACTGGTTATAAAGTGGAAGTGCATTTTCTCTTTGTTACTCTGATCTACTTCTGGGTATTAAGTAACTAGATTAAGCATGCTTAGTGTATAATTATGATAAGCAATACTGCCTCTTTCAAAATTATGAATTTCATGGCCTCTTTTGTAAAACACGAAATAAATTCAATTGTCAAAAGTTGTTACATTATCCTCAGGTTACGTTTAAGGCCTGCGGGCCTTTTGTTATAAAGGTGTGACCTATCCAATAGGACTGAATGACGATTCCATTTCTAATGCGGGAATTAAGATAAGATACCATAGAAACTGACAATTATAGTTGTACATGTCAGTGCCGTATACAACAAACATAGTACAAGTAACTGCAATAAAATGTAATCAAAGGCAATGCAGGATAACCTGCTCGAACACGGGTCGCCATTCCACGACAATATCCGTGACAATAAAATAGTCTGATGTTACGAATGCGAAGAGAATACCCCGGGTGTTGATGTATTGTATATAATGATATCGAAAATGGCTTATGCCTTTTTACGAGGTGTGTTCAACTTTAGGTGGCAGGGGATATACTTTCGTACTGAAGACCCGGTCAATGTTAATTTTTTAAACTGAGATATTCCTTGTTTGGTGTGATATTTTATTTAGAAATATGATCAGAACTAGAGCCGAGCTCGTTGCAAAGCAACGAATAGGTCTTCCGTTGGAGCTACGGACTAGAAGACGTAACCTTGAGTCGAGGCCAAAAGCCACATACTAAAGATATACAAGTAAAAAACCTTGTAAGAGAAGCAACTTACAATGTTTCGCTAGGAAAAAGACTGTAAAGAAATACTAGTATGTGAGACCTTGATCTTTCCAAATGACCTTGTGCTAA